CATCGCCAGCCCATCGCCAACGCTGCCACGAGGGCCAGAAACACTGGCTACCATGGTGCCACCACACACACCCGCCCTTCGTTAAACAACCCAGAAGTCTGCCAAGTGAACCGAGAGAGGCATTGCTGAAGGCGTTCCGAGAGAGGCATTGCCTGAAGGCGTTCAACGCACACGGGACAGCATTTCGATATTCTGCACAGGCGACAGTAGACCAGCCCAGAGAACCGCTCCCCTGCAGACATGGCTGGACCAGCTCAGAACCGCTCCCCTGCAGGACATAGCAAAGGCATTTAGTGAGCTTGCAGCGTATGCGGAGCGATGACAAGAGACCCAACCCGCCAAAATCGACACCCTTTCCCGACCACGCACCGTACGCAAGGTAAGCGTGCCAGTTGCCAGAGTTGTTGTCCCTGATCGCCTCGCAGCGGACTGCGCCCACTCTGACCCCTGCACCATAGCTGCTGCCACTTCCCGCCCTGCGGTAGTAGAGAGTGGGGTTGCCCCTCACCTCGCCTGCAGGACCGCACAGAAAGATGGGGAATGAGTGCCCTGGCAAAAAGCTTGTAGCAATTACCTCACAGCAGGCACGTCGATTGAGGATGACGTTCCTCAGCTCTCCGCTGCCAGCTGTAGTATGCATCACTCATGGCCTCTCACCTGAGCTTCCCAGGTCGCTCCCATACTCGGCAAACGCAAACAGCTGCTGGCCCAATACCGGCACGCGCAGCTCGGCCGCTGCCTCAGCGTATCGCCGGCAGGCCGCCAGCTCGCCAACATTGTAACCACGCACTGCAGCAGGCGGCAGGGTTACACAAACTGGGCGCGAGCAGACAGGAGATGCACATCTCTGGGGGGGCCGTTGGTCAGCTCCTAATGCACAGCTCAGCTGGACACAACCTCCGCAAATGCGCACCCGAAAAGGGGCCGCCAAGCAAGAAGGCGTCGTAAGCCGGCAGATCCCCAACGGTGTTGCCCACTTTGCCGTGGGCCACCAGCGTCACCGGCGCGCTCTTCCCGCGTGGAGTCGTCAGCTTCCAAAACCGCGTGCACTGTGCCTCCATCCGGTTGAACAGCGGCGCTCCGCTGCCAATGCCGAGGCCCTGCTCAACCTGCACAGACCACCGCAGGGCAGGAGGCGTGGTGGAGAATGACTCTGCGCCAGAAGGCCATGCACAGAACAACCGAAAATGGGTGGAACCGTGCGTCAGTAAAGTTTTTGGGTTTGGAGGTTTGGGCTCACAGCGGCATGAGCCTCGAGCAAACTACAGAAGTATGTCCTCATCCGCAGCGGCTAGATGCAACCAGTGGAACTTGCAGACAGAACTTGCAACACAACCTGGGCTCTGCCGCCTGTGCAGAGACGACGAGGCACGTGGCGGCCGGCTCACCGTGCAAATGTCGCGAGCGCCAACCTGGGCACCATTCACGAGATAAGTTGTATCGCGGGTCAGGGCAGCCTGGGCAGACAGCACGCGGTCCACGCCCTTGTCTGCAGTGGTGCAAGGGCGGGTGACAGCGCTGTTCACACTACAAGGCAGCGAACAGATGCCAAGTGCTGGTGTGCTAACGTGAACTCGCACTGCACAGGACAGAAGTACCACCTGACAGACCAGTCGGAGGCCCGTCTGCTACATACTGCCCAAAGGGCGTGGTGCGCATGCCGCGGGTGCAGGGGGCACCCGTCTCGTCACGCGAGGTGATCTCCTGCAGAAGCGTGGTAAGTACCGAGTGATACAGCAAAATCACTGCCAATAAAGACTGCAGGGAGTGCGACACCAAACTGTTGGCTGCCAGGCACACCCTAAAGTCCCAGTGCACCTGTGCCACCAGCGCCAATGTGCCCTTTGAGTTGCGGCTGTACTGCTCAGTGATGCCAACCTTGGCACCAGTGCGGTCCACCCACACGGCGGGCACCTCCTCGCCGCCAGGGCCTGCAAGGGAAGACCAAGCAAACTCAGCTGATGTGGTGCAGCTTGATCCCGCGATCCCCTGTCAGAATGCAGCAGGAGTCAAATGACGACTGGTTCCCACGCACGCACCTGGGGTGAACACGCCACAAATCTTGCGGCCGTTGAACAAAGAGGCAGTGAGACGGGTGCGCTTGGGATCGTCCAGCCCATACATGTAGGGCTGCAGGTGCGGGTGGGGGCAGGTGGTTGTTAGCCCCGTTGCCACACTCTCAGCGCCTTATCCAGATAAGTCAACAAACATAGTTGCCTGCCAGAGCACACCCCGCACCACACCTGGCTGTACTGCACACGGAAGGAGAGATCATCGGCAGGAGCCAAAAAGTTCTTGGTGTTGATGCTGGCAGCAATACTGGCAGCATTGCCCAACAGGTTGCGGTTCTCATAGGTGATGGTCCCGCCCGGAACCAGGCTGACAATACCGGGCTTGCCGTTGTCGCCTGCACATGCACAGGCAGGTGTGTAGATGTCCGCGCAGGTGGCACAGTGCAGAGCAGCAATGCGGGATGGATACTCTTCTACATCCAGCGCACAGACCTGGTGCAATGCCCCACTCGGCTTCGATATCAGCGGTCTGCGTCGGCTTCTCTCGCACCATCACCTCCACGTCCACGCGAGATGGGTCCTTCTCGTTCTGCCGCGGCAAGATCTGCACGGTGAGGCCACAAATGTGACCAGCAATGGGCGCACTAGTGACAAATGTGCCTCGCAAAAACTAAAATTGGGTTTGGAATGGCGTGCACAGCTCAACCCACCTGCACGTTGTCAAAGAGGTCCAGCGCAAACACATTCTGCAGCGTCTTCCGGCCCTCGTTCATGTTGTACAGCGTGCCAACCTCCACAGGGCAATGCTTGAGGATGAATGATGATGAGATGTTCCCGGCGGTCTTGGAGGGGTTGCCCTCCTCATCCACATGCACCTGCCCGGAGCAGCGAGCCAGGTGGTGAGTTGCAAACCACTCGCAGAGAGCTGGGCGGCGCCTGGCGATGCTGGCTGCCAGGGCTCAACAAATCAACGACGGCCTTGAGGAACACGCTCACCACGCTGACTTTGGCGGTCTTGCCCTCCACAATGTGTGCCACCACGTCGCCCGTGGGCATGCCAGTGAAATGGGAGATGTAGGACAGTCCAAAGCCGCGCGACGTGTACCTACATGCCGGCAAGCAGGATTGGGGGTTAATCAATGCTGCGTAAGAACTGCAGGGCATGGGCTTCTTGCAACGCACCAGCCCTCGACCATGTTTTTTATCACCGCCATCGTCTGCATGGTGAAGGGCTGTCCCTTGTACTCTGCCAGCTTTTCCTGAACCTGCACTATGCACGCTGCAACCTCAACTCAATGGCTGCAATGCAGACGTTTGCTGCTCCCCACTTGGCACAATGAAGGGCAATCTCGTCCGGAGAGACTCAGATGAGCCCCTGCCAGATGCACCAGCCGCGCTGTGCACCTCCTTCACCACGGCTGTTGGCAACACTTTTGCGCCTTCCACATTGAAGGTTTGAATCTCGGGGTAGCGCTTCTCGACAAAATCAAACACCACCTGCGGGTGCAAGTGCAGCGGCTCAACACCACCCATATGAGACAGCTATCATCACTTCAAGCGAGACAATTGCGGGGGCGGCGTCGCTGGCCAAAAGACAATGCACCTACCCACCTTAAACTTGCCCTTCTTCTGCGGTAACACGCGAGCATTCACCGACTCAAACAGGCCGGTCTGGTACAGCTGCTTAATGTCCTCGCTCAGCTCCGCGCGGGTGCAGTTGAAGCCTGTCGAGGCATGTAAATGAATTCCCTTGAAAACGAATCAAGCAAGATTTTGTTTTGTTGCCATGCGAAACAGATGTGTCGGCGGAAAGTCCCCACTGAAAGACGGCAATCGAGTGGCGCACCTCGCTGACAGTTGAGGCTGGCAAACAGGTCCTCTTCTGAGGGTATGCCCTCGCCCACCGGCAGGCCCTCGGCACGGATCTCCCCGCAGTGGAAGCTGCCATCCGCGCCCACTTCGGCCAATGGCTCGTCATCTTCTGCAGCAGCAACAACAGGAAGTGGCCGATGGAGGCGCAAGAGAGCGTGGGCAGCGCAAAGGCAGCTGGGCTCCTTGCATTCGCACCATTCTCTTGCTCCTCCTCCTCCTCTTCCACATTCTCCGCCTCCTCATCCTCCTCATCCTCATCTTCCTCTTCTGCAGCCACACGAATGGTGGGTGGATCAGAGGCCTTGTGACTGCCTTGATCTGCAGCGTAGCCACCTATACCAGGTGCAGGGAGCACCGGTCGGCCTGCGCGCCTCACCCTCGCTTGCCTCCGCCACAGCAAACGCCTCGTGCGGGCGGCCGCCGCCGCCGCCGCTGCTGCCGCCGCCGCCGCCGCCGCCGCCGCCGCCGCCACCGTCTAAGCAGAGCGTTAGCGCAAGAGGTGCTGCGGCCACGCCCATCACAACAGCTGGCTGGGGCCAAATGCTGGGGTTTGCATGCTGCGGCTCATCCCCATGCTGCCGATGCCATTGCTGCTCCGCCCGCACCACCGGCACCCTCCTAGCACATTGCTGCCGCTTGTGCTTGACAAGGGGCCGCGGCGGGGTAACCAGCTGGCCGGAGGAGGCCTTGAGAGCTGGGCGGGCGCGCGATGGCAGGTGCAAGCAGGCCTGCTGCCGCCCCAGCAGGGCAGGTGCAGCGCGGACTGGCATCGCAGTGTGCGGAGCCAGGCGATGGCGCGGGTTCAACCTTGTCGATAAGGCTGACGGGCAAGGAGCAAAGCCCAGAGTATGAAACTCTATGTATACTGTCGTGACAGTAGTGCATAGCATTGGGGGCGAATAATGCATGCACACCGTGGCAGGCTGCAGCAGTACGCAGGCGCATCGTGTGCGTTTGCACAGACCTTGCTCTCCCCTGTCTGTGAGCCCTCCTGGCACCCACTGTCGTTGCAGCCTCGAGCGGCCCAACATGTCCTCGCTGCGGAATGCCGCGAAACGGACACAGCACAAAGAGAGGGCGCAGCCGTAAGTTTGCAGTCGGCAATGCGAACATGTTGCGCGCATGCAAAAGGTAGCCGAGCGTGAGCTGCCGCCCCTCCGCGCTGCCCCGCCCCTGCAGCGCCGCGCGCCGCAAGGTGGGGCTGCTGGAGAAGCACAAGGACTATGTGCTGCGTGCCCAGGACTTCCACAAGAAGGAGGCCACGATCAAGGTGGGGCAGGCTCTGCTGTTGCCGCAGGCCCTGTTGTTGCCGCCACACTCGCACTCCGACCGGGTGCCGACCGTGTGTGTCCGCTCCCCACCACACGCACCATGCAGCAACTGCGACGCAAGGCCGAGGAGCGCAACCCAGACGAGTTCTACTATGGCATGGAGCAGGCACGCACAGCGGGCGGCGTGCACATCCAGCGCAGCACCGAGGCCAACAAGTACACCCAGGATGAGCTACGTCTGATGAAGACGCAGGACGTCAACTACCTGGCTCTCAAAGCGCAGGCGGAGGCCAAGGTGCGTTGTGTGCGACAGCGCCTCAGGCTCTGTGCTCGGCCGCTCTCCCACCGCCTCCCGCCCATGCACAAGCGACAATGCATACCGCTCCTCTGCCGCAGAAAGTGGAACGCATGCAGCAGTCACTGCACCTGATTGGCGCGCCTGCAGCCAACCAGCATGTGGTGTTTGTGGATGAAGATGAGGAGGCTGAGCGGTTTGATGCTGCTCGCCACTTTGACACAGCCTCCGAGCTGTTGGAACGGTCCTACAACCGGCCGCGGCTGGCGCAGCTAGCAAATGCACAGGCGGTGTCTGGAGCAGCTGAGGGAGCCGCACGGACGGTGGCGCAGTTGGAAAAGTGAGTTCACCAGCGGTACTGCAACGTGACGACTCAAACGTCTGGCCTGACGGAAGGAGTGGGATGCCTGCCTTCCCACCACTGAGATGGCTTGCGACTCAATCAGATTAGCTTGCAATCCGCTGCTCGTAGGAAGCGGGGGGGCGCATACCGCGAGCTGTTGCAGCGGCAGCAGCGGCAGCAACAGCTGGGGGCGCTTGCGCAGCAGATGGCGTACAACAAGCAGGTGATGGGCAAGGGACGGAAACGCAAGCTGCAGCCAGAGGAGGGGGGCGGCCTCAGCGGTGTGTTCCGCTGGAAAGCCGAGCGCAAGCGATAGGTACAGTTGCGGCGCCTTGCAGTGGCCCGCACGTCTGTTTCTGGCGTCTATGGGCTTTCACATGTAAGTGCATAGGTCCCCAGTAGCCCGATGCAGCCTGGAAAAGGCCAGCGCCATGCAGGTGACCGACCACTTGGATTGATGGGGGTCACGCGTTGCACATGTGCACAGGTGGAAATGTGCACAGGTGGAGGTCTACGACCTGACCTCCACCGCCTGGATCTCCCCCAGGTGTCGCGCTATCAGCCCCTCTGCATCTTCTAGCAGCTTGGCAGCAAGTTCGATGAAATCTGCAGTCAACAGAGTAGTGGGTATAGACTCATCAGGGCGGCGGTGTGCTACAGCCGAGCAGGCATAGAACACAGGATATGTGCACGTATGCGGTCGCTGGTTATTAGAGCCCACGCACATGGATCGCCGTAGGCACCGCCAATGCCAGGCGAGTTGTAAGCCACGGCATTGTTGTACAACTGCTGCAGGTCGGCCCTGCACGAGGGAAACAGCAAGGCAGCAGCAGTTGATAGGCTTCGACTGCCACACGCATTTGGCGTCGCACAGCACCTGCCTCATCTCTCGACATGCTCATGGGGAAATGCCCATGCTACATGTCGCGCATCAATCTACCAAGCCTTCACCTGAACTGCTCCAGGGAGAGGTAACGCCCCGCCTTGGCCTTCTTTTGCACCTCTGGCAGGATGATGACGCTCGACTTGGGCACAAAAGCGTGGTAGTCGGGGGCGTGCTTGTTGCTGGGCTGCATTCAGCGGCGGCAGGGCTCAATACCCTCCCTTTGCAGAGGCCCAGCGCTTGCGGGCAAAACCAGCAGGCAATAAAGGCGGCATCCCGGCTCACCACTTTGCCATAAACCAGCTCGTACACCTTTGTCATCTTCTGAGGGTAGCCAAACGGCATTTTTGTGTTGCGCAGCTGCTGCACAATGGCGCTCAGGATGGCACCCAGCTGGCGCCCAACCGTGCCCAGCTGACCTGCGTACGTGAACGCATCGAGTGTGTATCGGACTTAGGCCAGCCTCGCACTAACAGCTCCTAGGCCACTAACAGCTCAAATGCAACTAACAGCTCAAATGCACAATCCAAAGTGTCCTGCCCTTACCTGCTGCTCCCAGCCCAGCACCTCCACCACAGGAACGGTGCTTGCTCCCACGCTGTGGTGTAGCTCCTTCATCGCTGGTGCCCGGATCCTCCTCCTCAAACATTTCTTCATCTTCATCTGCAGGGCACAGTCGCCGAAAGCACTGCATTCTAGCATTCGAAGAGAAATTCTACTGATTAGTTCTGCACACACCTGCGCTCCCCAATCATCAATGAAGGCACTGATCCTTACCGGACAGCTCCTCCTCCTCCTCCTCAAACTCATCCTCAAACTCATCCTCAAAGTCGGACCTGCTGCGCTTTTTGCGTGCGCTGCCTCCCCCACTGGTCTTCGCACGGGCTCCACTGCTGGCTTTGCCCCCAAGTCGGGAAGCGCCTTTGTTGCGCGCACCGCCAGCGCTCCCAGCACTGCGGCGGCTGCCAGAACGGGCGAGCGGGGCTGCATCAAAATTTCGTGACCTGTAAACCAAAAGCAACAGCAACATGTCAATGAAAAAGTAGCCCACACAAACGCACAGCGCTCCATCAACCCACCCTGCTTCGCCCACCCCTACTTGCCTTGTTCGAGCCTTCTTCAAGACGCGCCGCTCCTCACCTTCACTTTCTGAGAAGTCGTCATCCTCGTCTGCGCAGCCAAATGCGTAGCATGTAAAAAGAAGCTGGCAGCAAAACCAAAAAAAGATGCAATAGCCTTTCAGTACCTGGCACAAAGTCATCACTGACATCATCAGCATCGTGCTGCACTTCGTAGTCAGCATCTGTGGAAGAAAGGAACAGGTTGGGGGTGGGGGTGGGGTGGAGACGGACACAGCAGTAAGAAAGGGCGAACAAACGGACCAAATGCTTTGCCAGACCGCCTCCGGTGCGCGCCCTCGCTCTCTTCGTCCTCGCCCACTGTCAAATCATACACAAAATCCGCTGCAGAAATACACAAAGATGCACAAAACCAGCTTTATGAATCGACAAAGTGACCAACATCAGAACTCCGCCAAGCAGCGCAGCACTACAATTGCCTTACGCGAGGGCTCTCGTGGTGGTTGCTTGGTGGGAGCTGCACCACTCAGCTTCAGTTTCAGCTTGGGCTTCAGTGTCGCCGCAACTGTCTGCTGCTGATGGTGCATCAGTGGCGGGGGTCCCTGAGCAGCCTGCTGCGGTCCAGGGCCATTAGTCGGCAGTTCCTCGGCTGGTGCCTGCTGCTGGTCAAGCTGTGTGCCAGAACTGGGCATGCGTACTGCGGTTGCTGCAGCAAGGGCAGCAGCAAAGTCGTCCGGCAAGGCTGGCATCAGCCCCTCTGGCTGCAACTGCTCCCCTTCCAATCCAGCTGCTCCTGCTGCCTGTTTCTTCTTCTTTCTGCGCTGCTGCTTTGGCCTGTCCTCTGTGGGTGCCGCAAAATAAGGGGCCTCTGCATCGTCGTTGTACTCAAAATCGCCTTCATCTGCGCACCATCAACAATAGTTGGCTTTTCAACGACCCTGTGGTGCACTGCCAACGGCTGCGCCTCGTTTCCAGAAATCTCTTCTCACCAGAAATAATTTCCTCTCCCTCAAGCATCTCGTCTCCAAACTGAACACGGTTTACGTGAGAACATGTTCTTTGCAAGGAAGCAAATGGACTAGATTTTTGCCAGCAAGGCCCCAGCAACTGTGCCTACCTGCCGCTGCTTGCGCTGCCGACTGCTCTGTCTTGCACGTCCCGGGTCCGGGCTGGCCAATTCTGCAAGGGGTCAACAAGCATAATCGAGCTTTTCTGGTGCGTTCTACTGGGCTGGTTGCCAGCGCCAACGACTCCTGGGGACCAACTGAGCAGCAGTCAGGTCTCTGCCCGCTTGCTGTCGAACTGTGCCATGCAGCAGGAGCTGGCAGCCGTCTGTTGCCACCGGCTGGCGCTGGCACGCACCCACGGCTGCCGTCTTGCCACCGCGTCCCCTGCCGCCTGCTCCACGTCCGCGCGCAGAAGGACCAGGGCGGCTTCCGCTGCGCCCCATGCCTCGGCCCCTGGCGGCAGCATAGCTGAGCCGAAGCTCCTTCGGTCGGCCTGCACATGGCATTGATAATCCGAGTTTAGGATTGAAGCATCAACATTGATGTGGAAGTCGTCAGCATTTGGATGGGCAGTACTATAGGTGCCTTGCCTGCTATTGTCCGAGTGCCAAAGCCATAGGGATGGCTTCCGCTGCCTTCTTTCTGCAACAAAGCAAGGGACATTATGAACACAGCCAGAGAGGGTTCCTGCCAGCAGGCCTGTGAGAGAGATGAGGTTCCCGTCAAGAGGCCTACACTTGCCTGGTACAGTGAATGCAGCTGGCCTGGGCGATCCCGTCCCATGTAAACAATCTCATGCGACTTCTGCACAAAGACAGCAATAGTTGGCATTGTTTAAGGAGTGATGTAAACTGAGCAAAGGCAGCAGAATCATATCTACACAATGCTTGGGGGTGCAAGGTCACAGGTTGCAACATTTAAATCCCGCAACAGCTGCATGCCAGCAGCGGGCGCACCTGCCAGCTGCCATCTGCTGCTTTCAGAAACACTTCCCGCCTGATGCGCTTTGTGCCAAACCCCTCCTTGGGCGCCGGTCCGCCAGCACCCCCTGGTCCTGGGGTCCAAGATGGTGCTGCCGCTGCAGTGCCAGCATCTGTGGCACCAGCACCTGCTGCGGCATCCATGAGGCCCTCTGCTCGCATCTGTTGCATCATGCGCTGCTCATCATCGGCGGTGGGTGTGCCCTCGCGCTTGCCCTGCAAAAAAGTCACAAATACAGCAGCAACGACGTGGAAATAACCTGCTTGGACCTGAGCAACTTCGTGATGAGCTGATGCAAGAGTGCACCACCTTCTTGCTCTGGGGTGTGGGCCTGCTGGTGGCCCCTCCGCCCTCGGCCTCGGCTGCCTCCTCTGCAGCTGCCAGCTCCTGCTCAAGCTCAGCCTCGAGGGCGTCCTGATCGCCTAGATCCTCGCCAGCAGAGTTGTTCAGGACAGCCATCTGCGTGAAGTGTGTAAACACACAAACTCAATGGATTGGGATCGCACAAACATGCAATACACTGAACATATCAAGCGTAGTAATGCGCCCGCTGCACTGCTGTAAAGCAGCAGAAGCTGGAACCTGTTTCTCCAGGATCTGCTGCGCCTTCTCGGCCGCCCGCCGCTGCAGCTCAATCATCGTGGTCTTCTGATGCCGCACAAACTTGACTGCAGCAGCATCCACTGTGCCATCCTGAGCTGCAGCACTGGCCAACTGGCGCACCTGCTAGCAAAGCATAAGTGAAATTGTGTTATTTGCAGTTAAACAGCATTGCAAAACACAGCCAGCAACATGCTTATAGGCGGATCAAGGGCACTTGCCATGTCGATCATGGTCCACCTGCCCAGTCCCTGGATCTCCTCCTCGGTCATTCCGTAACCTCTGTGGCAGGGGGCACAGCGATTGCGTCACAACCAACATATCAGCTTCAGGGGCAGCTGAAGTACAGCAGGCCAACAGATTCAACCGCTGCCACGACGCACCTGAGACGCTCTTTTGCCTGAGCAGTGGTCATGCGGCGCAGGTCTGCATCTGTTCCCTGCACCTTGCCTGCCTGACGCTTTGCCATCTGTTTGGTGACGTCATCAGCATTGGCATGCTGCAGTCAGACAAGCAAATAGCAAGGTAGGGCATGTGCAAGGCGAGTAATGACAGCAGACTGGGGCGAGGGCAGTGGGCAGTCCACATCCCCATACCTTGTGCCGGACATCCCTCACAAAGCTGTAACCAAATCCGCGGCCGGTCGGATCGGCTGCGCCTGCCAGCTGCAGCTGAGCCTTGCCCTCCCTATAGGCATGCCAACACGATGTTAACCACGACAGCGGGTTGGGAACAGGCTATGCAAGAAGCCAGCTGAACAGCAGATGATGGCCAATTATTCTACCTGAAGTGGGTAACAAATGCGTCAGTGAGAGTCCAAGGTGCAGACTGCAGGCACAGAACAGACAAAACAAGTCGAATAGCAGACGGAGGAGGTGCATTAGGACGAAGCCAGACTGTGTCCAAGCCAGCCACACCTGCATGGCCTGCTCCACCAGCCTTGCAGCCTTCTGATGGCTTTCATCAGGCGGCAGCATCTCGGCTGCTAACCTCAGCTTTTCTATCTGCAGAATGTTGTGGGTGTTGGCATCAATTTCATCACTTTGTTGACTTCCCCTTTCCCCTACTCACCGCAGCTTTATCCAGCTTCTCATGCATCACCAGGCCTCGCTGCTTCATGCGGAAGGCGGCGACATAGCATGCTTCCAGTGTGCATGCCTCCTCTGCATGAGCAAGCAGCCAAAAGTGGTCATCATGAATGATACAGCCTACAGGACAAACCAATCTGCTGCCAATGGCAGCAACAGGTTCACCTGGTGTCAGCTTTTTGCGCAGCTCAGCTTCGCTGGGAGGGCGTGCCGCGTCCTTCAGGCTGAAGATCTCCGTGTCCCCAACTGGCTGCAACATTAGGAAGAAGGAAAAAAGCAAGGGGACCCGGAGCAGCGGTTGGCAGCAGTCCAACGCAGAACAGCAAGACACAAACGCGGCATTTGCTCAAAAACAAACAAAACTAACCCGAACAGCCAGATCACATGCATCTTTCAGATAGCTTCGGATCATGGCTGGTGGGCGGGAGGGAAATGCCTGTGCCAGAGCTTCAAGAGTGATGGATGCCCGCTCCCCCTGCAAAATGCTAACTTGCATGTGAGTGATGGATGCCTGTTGCCTGAAAATGCAAACTTGCGGAAAATGACGGCTGATCCCTCTTGCTAAACCTCTCTCGGGATATGCAGACGAGCAAAGCCCAGGCGCCATCCACCTGCTTGACTGGGTCGCTGTCCAGCTTGGCTTGCTGGTGACGCAGATGCTTGAAAACATGCACATAAATGCGACGCTCTTCCAGATCTCTGCAATGTTCAATGCCCAACAAAGTGCATCGATTGAGGATTCGGGCAGGGAGGTCACAAGACAATGCAGATTCAACTCACTTGACTTCGCGGGCAGTAGGCGCTGGCACTCGCAGCATAGGCAGCCCTTGTCCCACCATCACCGTGCCGCTCAGCTCCCGCACCTGCATCGTGCCAGCCTGAACACACACACAACAAAAATGGAAACACAACGGCAGATGCACTGCATACAGAAACAAAGTTGGTGCATGGGCATGAGGCTGTTACACTCACTGGAGTGCGCAGAAGCAAGAAATCGGTGAATGGTGGATTGTAGGGGAACGCCAAAGAGCGGAATAGGCCGCTCTCCACACTCAAAGTGCTGGTTCCGCGCGCCAGCTGCCCTGCAACAGGGGGAAGCCAAACGTGGGCGCAAGCAAAACGCGGGCGCCGACTGACTGGCAGAAGCAACTTGGCAGAGGGTCAACATTTAATGCTCTGACCAAGGAAGGGCGAGTCATCATCATCACCCAGTGGTTGCACCGCGCCAACTCGCCAGCGTAGCGTCTCTGCGCGAGGCAAGGGCTCCTGAATTTTTCAACAAGCACGGCCTGGTCTGGCATGCTGCAAGTGGCCAAAGGAGCCGCACCCTGCTTCAGTTTCTGATGGTCTGAATCCGAGGCATCTCGCTTGCGATAGTAGGTCACCAGCTTGGCACCCATGCCAGGCCGATTAAGGAGCGGCGGCTGCAAGGCCAGAATTCCAGCACAGGAGCATCTCACTTTGATTTGAATCCACTTCCCACACAAATGAGTGTTCTTTAGGCAACCCTGCTTCTTGCCTGCTGCTCCATGAATTCCAGCAACACCACATGTCCAGGCTCAGCAGCCGAAAAATTGCGCTTGCGGGTGAAGGCATTGGGCGGTCTACAACACATTGGAGGGTGGAAAGAGGTGGAAAGGGCGCAAAAAATATCCAGATGGCAGCCTGGGCACCAAAGGCTAGCTGACCTGAGGAGCGCAAGGTTGTCCTTTGCTGGGACCGCATTGACCGCGGCAGTCTGCAGGAGCTGGATGTCTTGGAAGGCAACTGTCAACTTGAGCTACATTGCAGGTATGGGCAAGGAGATGTTTAGACTGTGTTCAAACCAGGCAAAGCCGGCGGCTGGTTGCTGATGGGCACCCTTCACAGCCTGTTGCCAAGATCTCACTCGCCTGCTTCTGCCCCTCCTTGATAGCGCCCATCGCGTGCAGTGGCTGATCAAGTGGCAGCGCCACGGGCGGCTTTCCTGGCAGCAGAATCAGCGGCTGAGTGCCCGCAGCTAGGTTGAACAGAGGAAAATTGTCCAAGAGCTGCAACAGGGCACCGGAAATGCTGCAAGCTGATCCATTGAAGCACCAGGGAGGAAATGAGTAAAACAAAACTTACATGCTTCCACAGATCCCGCAATCGCGAGTCCAATCCCACCGATCTGAAGATTTTGCTGCAAGAATTGGAGCAAAACACATTGAAATGTATCAGGTGTTTTTTCTGCTTCAGCATGGAGAATAAATGCCTGCGTCTATGGACCGCCGTTATCTAGGCGACATTGACAGCAGCAACAGCAGGGTTGGCACTCACCTGACGCCAGGCAGGCTAGCAATGGTGATTGTGACGGGCCCTGCCGTGGAGCTCTTCTTCTTGCCAGCCACATTCCAGGACACTTGGCTGGACTGCATCATCACATGATGAACAAGAATGCTAACAGAGCACAGGCATTGCGGGCTGAGATGCAATACACACTGCGCTGGGCCAGCCCGTCTCAAGTGGTGCCATACCTCAACGGGCCACCACTTGCCACGGTGTGTGTGCCAAAGCGCCAATGCGAGCACCTCCTCCTGCAACAAACAGTGGCGGCAAGTATTGACAGCATGGTTGAGAATCGAAGCAGTAGCAGAGAATTGAGAGGATCAAAAGCACTTGATACATTGCTGCACACACCTGGGAGTGCGGCGTTGGGTTCAGGATGGGCAGTGTTACCAAGTCAGATGCCAGCTTTGCATGCAGCACTCGCACTGCGCCCACTGTGCCTGCACATACCCGCTGCATTAGTGCTAAAATGGCCGCCTTGGCGGCAGTTCCATCATCTCAGCGATAAACACGACTCACCTGCTTTGCGCCGCGCAGGCTGATGGTACTCACGCTCCCGAGCCAGCCCCTGCTGCAGCCGCCACAAATCCACCTCCTCAGGCTGTATTGCGTCGTACCCCGACACACGAGGTGGCACTGGCAGCACCTGCAGCAAGCAAAATGGGGGCACAGTATGCTTGACGACGTCGCCCACGCGGAGCAATGAATGGATAATGAGCTGAAAGAGAAGCAAAACGAGGGCACGCCACACAAAACCAGCCCTGTACTCACCAGTACTTGCGGCTCAATAACAAGCGCGGCAGCCTGCTCCACTAATACCGCAACACCAGCTGGTGGTTGTTCTGTCATGGCTGAACCTTCCTGCTGCCGGCTGGCTGGAACTGCTGCTGGTTGGCGGGCAAGCGGCCGGGTGAGCTCAAAGGCCTGATTGGCATCATTTAGGTCAAGAATTGGGCCGTGCCCCCTGCACCCACAAGCAATACAACACTCCGGGGCAAACGACGCGAACAATGTGCACGGCAGATCAAATGACAGACGCACGCAAATCTGGGGGCAGCCCGAAAATCACCCGTGCAGACTCACCTGAGTTTGATGGGTGCATCGACCTGACCCTCCCACACAATGCGCTGCTCCCAACAATGGCAGTGCACTGCAGAAGCAGCAATTGCAATGCAATACAGTAAGAAGTGGAAGGGCAGTAAAGAAAAATCAGTGAAAACAGGCTGCCATAGCATGGGAAACATGTATGGGTGAATTGCGGCACCACCGCTGTTGCTCCTGTGCATCCCACCGGGCAGCATGTCGGGCAGCGGGGGCATGGGTCCACGATGCTGCCTGTCCTCATCGCTCCCTCCACCACGGGCGCCAGCCAAATCCCCAACCCGCTCTAGTCTCAACAACGGCCCGGTAGGCAGCGCCCAGCTCTCCTCCTCATCACTGTCTGCTGCTGTCCTGCTTGCTGCCTCTGCGGCATGCACACTGCTCAGCCCTGGCAGGTGTGCTGCGCCAATGGCGTTGACATCTGGCAATGACTCTGCCAGCTGCTGCTGGTTCTGCTGTTGCAAGGTGGTCATGCCTGGATCTCGCTGGCCCCAATGTGGCTGCTGCGCTTCATGCTGCTGTTGCAGCAGCACAGGGAATGGGACGTCGAGCCCTGGGGTGCCAGCTGCAGCAGCAGGCACCAGCATAGGTGGCACGCCATTGTCAAACTGTGTTGCTGCTGGCAATTGCTGTTGCTGCTCCTGCTCCCCGTGCAGCTGCTGCTGCTGGAAAATGACAGCAATGTCTGTCTGAGGAGTACGGTGGGCATGCTCCTGCCCCCCTCCTCTCTGCTCCTCACTCGAACACGGCCGGGAGGCAAAGGCCATAGCGGCAATTTCCTGGCGGTCTTCAGCGGCATGGCCAGCGGCCGCTGCTGCGACAGCCGAGTCTACACCCAACTCCGACGTGGGCTCATCATTGGTGCCTCGGTGCCTGTTCAGGTGCACTTCCACTTCCTGCCAGCTGATCCTGTCTTCCCAGGCCAGCATGTTGACAGGAAAGAAAGTGCCGTCTGATGAGCCCGCACACACCGGCTCCACAGCTACATCTTCTGCTGGCAGCGCAACCTCTGCCACATTGGCTGACTGCTGCTGCATCTGGGCTTGAGCCAGGAGCTGTGGCCTATTCCTGCATGTGGCGTGTATGTACAACGAAGCAAGAACAATGTGGCACTTAGTTGGGTGGTGCAGCAAACTGCCAGCATTCAATCGCTGAGAAGCAATCACAGCACCTTTGTGATGGCAGTCTTGTGTCCAGCCGATGCGTGGCTTGCTGCAACTGCGGGCTGCCCTGACTTGGTGCGTGTCCTGCTGGTGCTGCTACCTTGGGCGTTGGATTGACCAGAAGAGGCAGCGGCAGCTCCTGGTCATCCTGCTCCGCCTCTTCTCCTGCAGCAGCAGCACATGATGCCGTGGTTTGCAAGCAGCAAAGCGCTATCACATGGACACAGACCACCTGATGCACATCCTGACATCTGCCTCCTCTACAGCTTCCAATGGAGCAGCAAACCCAGCAGGCACACCTGCAGGGACCTCGATGTCAGCAGCCTGCAGCAGGGCCTCCTCGTCGCCAGGGCCCACCTCAGTCTGCTCCTCCCGCGCAAGCTCTGCTGCCTGCCGGCGCTGGCCGCGGAACAACAGTGGTTGTGGACGCAGGTCATCGGTACTTGCCACATGCCCTGCCATCACCCCCTGATGGCCATACAGCTCGGAAAAGCGCAGCACTGCCTCGCCTTCAAGAGACTGTCCCAGCACAGGGAGGTGCACGCGGTGCCGGTATGCTGCCCACGGTGTTTGTCCCACAGCAATGGCGCCAATTGGTGGTGCTGGACTCCCAGCTGCGATGACTGCTAGCTGCGGCGGCCCGACAACTCGCGGCTCCTCTTCGTCAAAATCATAGTTCTCATCCTCGGCTGCTGCTCCTGCCTGCAGTGCCGCTGACACCAGCCCCAGCTGATGCTGGTGCATGGCGGCGGCCACATCAGCCATCGCTGCCTGCTGCTCTGCATCCTCAATCAGCTCCGCTTCATCGGCAAAGTCCCGGGCATCGGCTGCAGGCTGCACTGCTGCCTCTTTACTGCCGACTCCAGGTCCATCAGCTTGCAGCTCCTCCTGCAGAGGCGGCAACAGAGTTGCCGTGCCAGCTGGCTTAGATTTAGACACGTCACCGGCCAGTAGTAGCGGCGGGGCGCCGTCGCAGGAGCAGCGCCACCTCACCTGCAGGTCCAGCCCGCCTCCCTGAAGGCGGGCCAGGCCCCCCAGGTGCTCCTTGGCATCCTGCAGCGTTCAGGAGCAGCACGCCCTTAAGCCACGGTCGGAGTGTCAGCAAGCGCAGGGAGAGGTGCTCACTGCATCGAGGTAGTCAGCTTCGACTTTGCCGGTCTTTTCATCAATGTTACCGAAGATAAATCCCACATCCATCAATTTGAGCTGCTGTTGAGTATGTTCAGAAGGCAGCGCCCTGTCGGGAGCTGCAAGGCGCAGACACAATGCAGCGGCAACTCGATAGGTTCCTGCAGCAAAATCTAAAGCCAATTCCGGGAGACTGGAAGTTCAAGCCGCACAAGCTGCACTGCTGGGTCGCGGTGGCAAAGGGCGGAGGCGGAGGCGGCAGGAGCGCAGCGCCTCCCACCCTGAGTCGTATACTACGTGGCGCCTGCTGGCCCACACCTGGTCCACCAAAGTTGCGGCAACGCCCAACAAAATCGGCAACGCACAGGCCAGAACGGAACGATACAGTTCGCGGTGAATGTTGGCTGGCCAGGCTGCCGAGCTGGCTGGTTGTGGACTGTAACACCGAGACCGGAGAGAGCTTGCCGTGATGCTAAAGGCGGAAACTTGTACTGTATTGTACGGAACATGAAAATTCGCCCTGGAGATGAATTTTTGAGGGAGGAATGATTTAGGGCGCGGAGGAGACACAACCGTGCTGGCGGCGCCCGCGTCGGCTCGCTGGCGGCCAGTGCCCGGCGGCGACAACCAGCAAAGTCACCCTTTCTTGTCGACATCCCATTACATCTCAGCTCATCCAGTGGAGCAGCATCCCACCCAGCCCAGCGGCTCCCCCGCCGGTCTGGGACTCGGCATGCCTGCACATGTCCGAAACCCAAATCGCCCCCCAAGTCGCCCCAATTAGCGTCTTTGGCCGCGGAAAACGACCATCACGTTCATTCCGAGCCGGAATCCATTCCGAGCCGGAGCCATGCGCGATCGCAGCTCGCGGAATGGCCAAAAATGGTTACACGATTGCGCCAAGAGAAAGCGCTGAATCGGAGCTCCGATTCTCGCTCAAAGCATCGAGAGCAGCATCTGTGGGCCGGACTCGCCACTGCGCGAAGTTGGGAAATTAGTCCGTGCTGGGGGGTTGGGGTGGAAAGACTGGAAAGATCAGGCAGCGAAGGAAACGCCATGCATGCTCAGGCGGCCTCCAGACACATTGCGGTCCTAGCGCACGGGGAGTGGGCTGGGCGTGGTCTGTGCGAGACCGGCAGCATGGCAGCAGCACTCGCCGCCACCAACTTCGCGGGCCAGCGGCTGGCTGCACGCAGCAGCCCGGCAGCACGCACGTCGCGGAGGCTTCATGTACAGTGCAGAACCATGGAGGCTGGTGAGTCTCCTGGCAGCGCTGGATGCCCCTCCCACATGGGGCCTCCACTGCCCGACCCTCCCTGAAAGCATCCTGAAATCAGTGTACTGTGGCTGTAGGCGTTGGCGTGTGGGGCACAAAAGCGGGCATGATGCAGGTGAGTCGTGGGCGCTGCCTGCCCCCGACGGCTTTCGACAAAACAAGTTGCTCTGCTGCCCTCATTGGATGGGACATGTGGATGCGCACACAAGCAGTCTGGTGTCGCGCGGCTGTGTTTGCAAGCAGCCGAGCTGTGCTGCTGCCGTTCCTCTCCTCCCCTGCAGTTTTTCAAGGACGGCGCGTCGCTGCCGGCCACCGTCATCGCGCTCGAGGGTGGCAACATTGTGACCCATGTCAAGACAGCAGAGAAGGACGGCTACACCGCTGTGCAGGTGGGATTGACATGATTGCGGTTACCTGTGTGGAATGTACACAGGGGGCGATTCATCAAAGAAGCAATTTGTGAAAGTGCCGCGTATGCTCGCCCTCCCAATCCCCCGCCTTTTGCAGGTTGGCTACAAGACGTGCCGAGAGGACAAGATCACAAAGCCCGAGCTGGGGCACCTGCAGAAGGCGGGCGCGCCGGCCATGAAACACCTGCGGGAGTTCAAGGTGTGGTCCACGCCGGCCTGCTGCTGCCAAGCGTGTCGATCAGCAGCAGCTGGTGGGGTGCTTTTGCGGCTGCTTGCACCCTTGCCACGTCCCTCGCCACCCGCTTCGATGCACCACATTGCAGGTCAAGGACGCCAGCGGCTATGAGGCGGGGCAGCAGCTGAACCTGGTGGACATGTTCAAGGCGGGTGACATGGTGGACGTGGCTGGCACTACCATTGGCAAGGGCTTCCAAGGTGGGGGCATGGCCGAGCGGGTGTGGTGTGGTTCTGCATGAAGGTAGCGTCCCTGCTACAACGCAGTGCAAATTGACCATCAGTTACCTCCGGCCCTCCTGCGGCGCAGGCGGCATCAAGCGTTGGGGTTTCGCACGCGGCAACATGACGCACGGCTCCAAGTCCAAGCGCGAGCACGGCTCCACCGGCCCCGGCTCCTCCCCCGGCCGTGTGTTCCCGGGGCTCAAGGCCGCGGGGCAGATGGGCAATGTGCGCCGCAAGCTGAAGGCCGAGGTGCTGCTGGTGGATGCGGAGAACTCGGCTATTGTTGTCAAGGGGAGCGTCCCGGGCAAGCCGGGCAACGTGGTGGAGATTGCCCCCGCCAAGGTGGTGGGCGTGAATGTGTAGTGGTAATTTTTTTTGATGCTCTTGTGTCCCGATGGAAGGCACTGACAGCCAGGATATCAAGAATAATGTTAGCCTGATGAATGCCACTCAACAACACAATTGACCAGGACCGCCGGCGGCTGTGCACGCGCGGGACAAATGGAAGACAGTGCCCGCCCGACGACTGTAGTTGAAAATCCCCCCTTCCTTGTGCTTGCTGAGAGAGTCTGCTGCACGGATTTCTCCGCTGAATGCTGGGGTGCCACTGCTCCACACGCACTCACGTTTGTCGCGAGAGCGTTGAGTCGGCGCTTGAGCAGGGCTGCAGCAATCAGCAGGGGTTTGGGGAGGAGCACCGCCCAAAGAGACGAAAGCTCGTCCAGGTGTAGCAGTGTTATGAAGTGGAGGTTTAGATAAAAATACAAAAGCTTTAAAAATACAAAAGCTTAATTTGTTGCCTAGGCAGGAAGGCTTTGCGAGCCTGCGGCGCCTTTCCCGCCCTCGCCCTCGGTTGCCGCTACCAACACCCGCCGCTACTAACACTCCCGCCGCTACTAACACCCGACCTTTGCAGGAGCGCAAGGCGCAGTTGGGTTCAGCCTCGCCCGGCTATGCGTCTCAGGAGGCTGCGATGTACCAGTCGCCACTGAGCCTACCAGGGCAGCCACGCACACTTGGCACGGCACCTGTTGCGCCGTTGGCCGACAAGTTGCCTTTGGCATGCGACCCCGACTTGGCAGAGATGCTCAGCGTGCTGTGCGTCAATGAAGTGGAATTGCAGCCGAGTGCGTCATACCTGGAGGATCAGCACGGCCCGCGCGCCCTGCCCGAGCTCTACTTGGATGCGAGCATGCGCAGAACAGCAGCCAGTTGGCTGGTGGAGGTGACGTGCGAATTTCGCTTGCACAATGAAACGCTCTGGCTGGCCATTTCGCTGCTAGACCGCTTCCTGTCTGCCTCCAAGGTAGGGGCTAGTCAAGGTTGTGCCAGCACCACCTGCTGAGTTTGCGGTACGGCTGCAAGCTAGAGCATGCGGCGATTGTGCATCTGTGGGCTGCTGCTGCTGCTGCTGCAGGGCGTGCCTCGGACGCAGTTGCAGCTGGTTGGGGTGGCGTGCATGCTCATCGCCGCAAAGCATGAGGAGGTGCGCTGGCAACCCAACTTATCATTGTGCCTCGTGATCTCCTGCCAATTCTCCTCATTCATCTTTTTCTTCCGTTCTTACCAGGAAATGCATCCGTCAATCCTGGACTTCGCCACAATTGCCGACAACTGCTTCATGGTGACAGTCCTTGCATGTTCAGCATGCTCACCTCCTCATAGCAATGGTTAATCCCACGCAATGCCTTACTTGTAACAATCAGCATTATTAGGATTGGGCCCTCCTCCAGCTGAGGGTTGCATGCTGCTCCGCTTGCCTTACCCCCATTTCATTCAACGACCTGCAGCCCGGCGACCTGCTGCGCATGGAGGCCATCGTGCTGGACTGCCTGTCGTTTCGCATCAACACACCCACTACGCACACATTTCTTTGCTTGTTTAAACAAATACTGGCACTACAGTCGCGCACCTGCGCCCTGGCGTCATACCTAGCGGTGAGCCCTGCTCTTTCAGCAACGAGGACAGGCAGGTTGAGAGTCATTTGCCCTTCATTTCATGATCACTCAAAGCTTGCATGATCACTCAAAGCCTGTGCATGATCATTCAAGCAAGTGAGTCACGACGTAGTGTGTTACACAGGAGTTGGCCATGCTCGAGTACAATATGCTGCACTTCCGGCCTTCACATGTGGCAGCAGCTGCCACGCTGCTCGCCGAACTCTACTGCGATGTTCAGAACACGAGGTGGGAAGGGCAAAGACCGCCTGCACTTTTGCGCTGCACACTTTGCTTGAAAGTGTGCCAAATGCTGTTTTATTCCTTTCTATTCCGACCTTGATCCCCGCAGCCACATGCCGGCGGCGACGAATTACTCGGCTGAGGACCTAAAGGGATGCATGCACCACCTGCTGGCGCTGCATGCTGCAGCGCATGCTGCAACCGACTACATGTCGCCCTATCTAGCAGGTAGCGACGGCTCGGGTGGTGGGGGCGGCGGGGCGGGGCAGACGACTGGGTCAGCAGAATGGCAGGTTACTGGCATGGCTTTGCAATTGCTGTCATCTACTGGCCTGTCCATTGCAGTGAGGGACAAGTACAGCACCCACCAATGGTTCTGCGCGGGCAAGGTCACGCCCCGGCAGTTCGACTTTACGGGCAGACCGCCTGTGTGGACGACTATCTCTCCTTGAGCTTCATATACTGGTTTGATTTTAGAGCTTGACTTGGCCGGGTATGCCCTGTAAGAGACATCCCGTTCTGGATCATGCAGCATGCTGCGAGCGATGAGGGTGCTGTGCATGTCACGATGGCAGCCCCTGCTCCTCTTCTCGAGAGACTGAACCAATCCGGGAACCACAATTCTGAGGGCCCATCGCTGCTACTCACAGCATGGGCCCTCGACGTCACTCACAACCCGCACGACCAACCTCCCTGGTCGTGGCTGTTACAATGTGCGCTCTGTGGTTTGCGATATGCCTTCGCCCAGTTGAACGGACGAGCTTCAAAGCACACGCCGTGAGCGCTCATTCCCCTCGAGTTGGGTACCTACTCCACCCCTCCCCCCTCCTCCCCTCTCCTCGAGTCGCCATCGTCAACGATTCCCCCATGAACTCAGAAGGTCGAGCTAGAAACAAGCAAACGGCCCAACCAGCACAACGGTCCCATAGCTACCACTGCAACAGCCGCCCAGGGTTGCCAACTCCCATGCTGCTGCAGTTGCAATGGGCGTCGCCTATATGCTCCATCGCCTCGGCATCAACGCCGTCATGTACATGCATCGACAGCGCTTCGGGGCAGATCACATATTGTCGCAATTTTATGATGGAACGGTGTTGGACGCCTCCACCTTTTTCTCCTCGCCGGCACATCGGCACCGCATGGTAGTCTTCCCAACGTGCGTGATGGTTGAGCTGCTCTCTGGGTCCCCCATCTATCCAGGTGGCAGGGCAGCAAGCAGTCTGAACGGACTGACCCAATTGTTCATTTGGCGAATGCAGATGGAAACACTCGCAGATGGAAATGCTGCAAGCGCTTTGGCAGGGCGGTGTCACGCTAGCCCTCTTTGTTCATTTGGTAGAATTTGTGGAGCATTCAGATGTGCTGGCTTTTCTGCAAGCCACCTCCTGCTTCATCAATTCCAGTGGCAAGAACAGCGTCCAAGGATGCACAGATGCCCGTGTTGTGCTGTTCACCGTGGCTCCTCACGTAGCCGCTGCGCTGACCTCCGTGTTGGCCCAACACCAGCTTCAGATTCCTGTGGAATGGATTGTGCCAGTGTTTCCCGTGCCGCCCTTGCCGCCAAAACAGCAAGCTGGCACGATAATGTGTATTCAAGGTGGCATCGATCCAACAAGGCGCAACTATGTTGCAATATTTGAGGAGCTTGCTCAGCTGCAGCAGCAGCAGGGACAAGCAGGTGGGAGTGACGTGCAGCTATGGCTTGTCGGAAGCTTGAAGCCGGACATTCAGCTGGACATTCCTAAAGCACTTACGCGGAGCGTCAAGATTCACAGCAACCTAGCATACCGAGTGAGGCTAGGGTTGTTAGGGGAGGGTATGGTTTCTCTCCTCATGAGCCAGTTCCTGTCCTCATTAGCCTCATTGGTTGCAGGAGTTTTTCGAGGTTCTCCAACAGTGTCATACCATCATCCCCAGCTTTGCCACCAGAGCATATTTGAAAAATAGAGCCTCCTCAACAGTGTCAACCGCACTGTCAGCGAGTGTGCCGCTTGTTGCTGATGCAGACGTTATGGCGGCATACAGCTATCTCAACTCCAAGGCTGTGCTCTTCACACCCAACGCCTCTAATCTTGCCAGCGTGCTAGAGGCGCTGCAGCGTGGGACCAATTTCCGGGACTCCATTGAGGAGCTGAGGCAGGCCCTCTGCAGGCACAATGCCGCAGCATTCTTGCCCTATTTGGTGCCTCGGTAACAAAGAGGACATGCGTGATCCGTTCCCTTGTCCATGTCAGTTGTTTCCCCTTCTCCTTATCTCTCCATCACTGGTCACACAGCACTTGAACCGTTGACGGGCAGATGTATCCTGTCAAGAAACAAGCTTGCAGCATGGTGCCAAGTCATGCTTTGACTTGCACGCCATGCGCTATGCTGCATGGCTGCTAGCCTCTCGGGCCAGGCCATCATGTCCAGCAACTGCTGGCCCACATCTTCTGGTGCCGTACTCCAAAGCAGGCGCCCAGCATCGTCGGGCAGGTGGGCCAGGGCGGCTTTTAACGGAGTTGCCAGCACCGCACAGCCGTGTGCCAAAGCCTCGTAAAATGTGGCGGGGTGCGGGAAGAGGTCCTCTGGGTACAACCCAATGTAAATGTCTGCTGCCGAAAACAACGCATGCATGGCCGTCTGCATTGGTTAACAAAAAGCAGGGAATTGCAGGGGCATAGCAGCTTGCATCATTAACAACATTGAACATGTACTGTGTGTCCGGAGAGTCGAGAAGCTTACCTCCGACACGTACTCGCTCAGCAATAACACCTGCTGTCTCAAGCCAAACTCTGCCACCAGCACCTCGATGGTGCTGTGGTAATCAATGCACAGCTGCCCACAGTCTGCAGGACGACCAGCAACAAGGTAAATGAGGTTGCCTCTCGCAGCGGTTGGCAGTTTGCCAAGTCCACGAATCACGTGGTGCACCCCCTGCAGCATTCCATTGGCAAACTAACTGTCGATGCCATAGAGAACAATTTAATTCACACTCATATCCTGAGCAATGAGCCACATCGGTCCCGCTTCGGGTGCCTACCTTGTCTGGGCCCTGGTACCCAAGGGTAAGCAAAACAGTTTTGCCCTGTAATCCCAGCTCCACCTTCTTGTCAGTTTTGTTAGGGAAGGCAGGCGTTGCATGCACTCCATGCGGGATAGCATGGATGTTGGGTGATTGAAGGACATTGCCCTCTGCAGGCAGATATCCGACGGCTGTATCGAGTTCCAGCTTGGTGCGGTTGCTGAACACCATTGCAGCGTCAGATTCTGCCAGCGTGTGCGTAAGGGCTGCCTGCAGACCAAGATGGCCCTGACTGGTTGGTGGGATACATGATTACGGCACTGTCACTCGCTTCCTTCTGTCAAAACCCTACACAATGCACATGAGCTTGGCTGCTTACCTGTAGTGCATCGTCAATGTTGTGAGTCACAGAGTGAACAATCGTCACAAGAGGCTTTTCAAGCAGCTTTGCAAAGCATGCGGCATAAGCGCACTGCGTGCCACCCAGCGCTCCTGCAGGTACAGCATCGAAAATCTTTGTGCTTAGGCCTTGAGGGTTGTGTTCTGAACCGCTCGAGTGTCCTTACCCAGCTTGAAGTTCAGCAGCGCCATATCGTACTCCTTGTTGATGAGGCGGGCCGCTGCCTCATAGTCTGAGTAGGACTCGCGACAGATAGTCAACTTGACTGCATGGCAGAGGGCTCTGTCAAGGTCGTGGGCATGCACAATAATACAACTGAAGAACTTACCTACGCCTGCATCATAGACTTCGCTCTCAGTGTTCCAAAAATCAAGCACCACTGCAAAAACATCCACCTGCAAGATAGACACGACAGACAGAGCGCTCGCGCTCCACAAAGGCCACATACTGTGAACATAGGCACGAAGATCCACCAACCTGCAAGTTAGTGCACTGTGCAAGTAGGGCTGTGCGGAGATTGGCTGAATACTGCGCCAGACCATCGTGGCGAGGTGGGAATGGGGTGATAAATGCCAGCTTGACACGGTGTTTTGAACTGCAGATGTCTGCAAGCCTCGTGGAAGAGGCCTTGGGCATCGGCGCCCTCCTTGTCCTTTTCACTGATTTCATGCTTGCACAGAGCTTGACGTCCGATGCAATGGTCCTGCAACAAAAGTGGGATCAGACTGAAACTCGTCAGCCTTACAACGAATTTGCCGGACAGTCAGTCGGCTTGGACTGGTGCGCACCACTGGAACTGGTAGTCCATGGCAGGTGTTGATGCTGCAGATGGTTTGGCAAGGCGTTCTTGGATTGCATGCAACCGCTGGAGGATCAGATCAGCAACGGCTAAGTTGCTGTACATAGACACAACATCCTTCCTGGCCTGCACTCCCTTCTTTCTTGCTGCAGTAGGGTGGTCGAATATTTCCTGCAGCACCATCAGGGCAAGCTCTGAGGGTCAAGCGCAGGAGGAACGTGGCTTGTCATGTGCAGTCAAGTGGTGGTGAGTAGATGAGTATACCGACGGACCCGGAGGAGCTTGGAGAGATGGGTCTCGTCAGGTTTCGCCCACCGCATATTCCTCAGCCAGTCATCGTAAGGATCGCTGCTCTCAAACTCTTTCACCCTACATCGAAAAGAACACGCTCGAACTTGCAAGAGACAAAAGCCAAATTAGTCTGAATGCCAAGGTCTGCGCTTCCTCACCGGATGAGGTAGGAGTTCTTTGACGTCATGAACTGTGTGTTCCCACCCCAGGCAGTCGATATGGTGGGCAGAGTCATCGCCATCGCTTCATGCAAGGGAAGGCCCCAGCCCTCACCATGCGTAGGCAACACGAATGCATTTGCTGCCTTGTACAGAGATAGCACTTGGAGTGTTGAGAATGGCCTTCCAGTCAATGCTACATGAGGAATGGTCGAATTATCTCTGCATCAAACGAAGTGCAGCACGAGGTGATTAGAGCATTAGACAAGTCAAAGGGAAAGTTGCCAGCCTGCTCAAAGTTTGACTTGCGGCTCGCCTATGCATTGTGCTGCCTACTACGTTAGCGTCAATGAACGCGTTAATCGCCTCCATGATGGCCGAAAAGCGGTCGAACCTCCCTTGCAAGTTGGTATGGATATACAAGGACACATCGTCCTGATTTGTGAAAGCATTGCAGTAGGCCCTATATCGCAATGGGTACTAGCACAATGAGGACACTGCGTCTCTTGCATAGCCGCAGCAATCAACGGGGCAAGTTGCAGAAAAACGTCCACTCACTCACCAAATGAGTGTTTTCCAATTTTTTCGCTCCTCAAACTTAAAGTTGCTCAAAAACACAAACCGCTTCTGCCTGCAAATGTAACCATGGCATCGAGGGTAAGTGCCTTTGGCATCAACAGAACAATAAACCCAACGACTTGCCCTGGCAAAAGCATGGGCTGCACGGTGTCAGGGTCAAAGAAGTTGGTGTCCAGCGACTCGGGAATCACCACTATTTTATTTGAGTGCACTCCTGCTCGAGTGAATACCTCAACGTGGTGCTGGGATGGTACCCAAACTTCATCCAGGGTGTTGCATTGTTCTACCAGCCTGCACATGGTGTTGGTTAGACCGGAGTCAAGAGCACATGGATGCCTGGATTATCAATATTAGTGTAGCAATATAGGCATTTTTGTCCTGCACCGCCTGCTATGCCCCTTACCCCCATCACCTGGCATGCAAGGAAGAAACTTCATTCATGTAACGACCAACAAGATAGCGTGGCCGTTTGGTGATGGGGTTGAACCAGTTTGACATGCGAAAGTAATCTCTGCACTGCCATTACATTGATGCAGAGTGGGCCGTGCAAGTGCAACAGGCAGGAGGCTCCTGCGATGTGATGGGAATTTGCGTAAACCCTCACCTGTGCAGCACCACCACATCATCTTGGATAAATTCTCCAGTACTTGAGCCCTGCGAGATGTTGGCCACTAAGCTTGGAAGATGCATCTGCAAAAATTGTTCCAATGTCTCAATTTAACAAACATCACTATTGAATTCAAAAACCTAACACTGAATGCCCAGCACACCATTCTTTCAATCCCCTCCGAAAAGCTAGGGGCAGCCGATGCAAGCACGTTGTGCCCATCACAATATTTGAATGGTTTTTGGATTTGCACACGGAGCTGAACTTTGCGGTTGAGGTGCTCCATCTGTGCAATCAACAACGGGAGAGAATGTGATTAAGTGGCCCAACACTAGTCCGCCTCCCATCTCATCCTCGTACCAGGTTTGAAGCTTCCCACGCCCAGCTCGCGCCGCATGCAAACATCCACTTTACAGTAAGATTACTTTGCAGGTCATCCATCATTGCCTACACTTGATTTGAGCAAGCTGTCTTCAACTCAGCAGCCGCTTGCCGTGCGTTTTGTCAGCACAGCACCAAGAGCTAAAGCAGACAAGAACAGCAGCACTAGCAGTTGTCAAGCAGTCAGAAGCGAGCGCAAAAATGGGGCACAGCAACGCTTACTTTCTGCACATGCGGAGACACTATGCTGCTGTACCGCTCAGCGGAGCTCCGGTGCAGCTCATGGAACTTTAGCATGCTGTCCAAGCTAGGGTCCCATTGCCACTCGGGAGATGCCTCAGTGATAGCCCAACTATCCCAGCTCATTTGTAATCCGTTTCCTCTCAGCAAGCTGGATGTCAACGCTCCACATTGATACAAAAATGTCATGTCTGAATTGTGCAACGAACGGCTGATGTGTATCCTTGAGAACTTCTTGTCACACACACTTGATGTCTACAAAGGCTCAGCTTGGCACCTTACCTTCAGGGACCTGGGAGGCGCCTGCCAGCAGCTCGGTGCGATCTACAATAAGCCCATCGCAAGTCGTTGCCTCCAAATGACTGCGTAACTCTCCCACCGCACGATACAAGTAGCTCATGTGATAGCCTCTGCATAAGCACCATGACCGCTGTGAAGCTTACATTGTGCCTGTTGCTGTGGTGACCACTGGGGTGACGTCTCGCACCTGAGCAGCATGAAGGGCAGCGTCAGGATCTTGCCATCACCCACCACAGTATACTGGTGCTGCAAGCCTGCGGAACTGATGTCCCCCTCCTTGCTTAGTGTAACTGATTTTGCTGCCTTAAGTTTAGCTGGCGAGCTCAGCAGGGTGCTCAGCAAGTTCCATAGCCAGTGCTCCATCGGCTGCAGGGTGTCTGCTAGAATGAGCACCCACTGGGCATCGTGCTGCGACGCCACGGCTGCAATATGTTGCAGCTGACCCCCTCCAACTGCTCTGGGACTGTTTCTGATAGCTTGAATGGTGACATTGAGGTGCTGGAAATGCTTACCAGCATCAGGTGTGTCGCTGAGTATGTGCTTGCTGGACAGGACCACAGCCGGAAGACGCAGCTTGGGCTGGTTGGTTGCAGCTCGAATCTCCTGGTCAACAAGATCTAGGGTGCGCACTGCCATTGCCACGTGTTCTGAAGTGCAGAGAACCATGAAAAAATTGTAGGCGCGCCTGAATGTGATTCAGGCAGGGTACCTGCACATAAACTTACCCGTTGGAGATGTGACAATAACAGTGTTGGACAGCAACCGAGTCACAGCTGATAGGAGCATTGGTGATGATGGCTGGCGGTTGGGGTTCCACCCATTTGGAAACTTGGGTGGACGTACAAGCCTGCAAGAACAGGATTGGGGAACGAGGACCTCGAGTGTTGTGGGGGATTTGTCATGTAACACTGTGTCCTCCAGGCATTTCACTAAAACACTGTCGCTTCAGGCTCACTTGAACTGACACCCAGATGCGGGAAGGGCGAACACCGCCCCCAGGTGCGGAACCATGTTTTTCAAAAGGGGGAGCGCTGCATGGACCCCGAGGTGCGACACTGTGCGTACTGCAATAAAATCCAGTGATTGGTTCCACACCACTGCATCCGCGATGCTTCCAACCAGCCTCTCATCCAGCTCGTGCTCAGCTTGACACCTGCCAAGAACCAAAGTTGGCACCAACCAATCACACTGCGAGCCTTCAAAGCATGCATACAATCAATTGCTACCACCAACTGTCCGCTGCCAATTCTGCATCACCTCCCGATAGTCAGAGCAGCTGGTATTGATGATAAACGATGGTCCTCAGATGCAGAGGTCTGCAAAGCGAAAAAGCCAAAGAACATACAAGCTCGCTGCGTGGAGGGATCCACGCACTCGCATTCCATTGAAGAGGGAAAAGCGAGGCAGCTCACCTGGGGAACATTGTCAGCTTTGACTGGAAACCCGTCCGCATAGAATCGAACGCTGCCATGCCGTCCATCATAGATCACAGAGATCTGCTGCCAGCCACCACGTGGGTCAATGCGCGCCGAAAAGTAGTCGCGCACTGTGCCATTGCCAGTACGGGCAGTGAACTGCAAATTAAGCTGTGGTGTTCTGCAATCGATGGAATAGAGCATAGCGTTAAAGTCACCAGCTGCAAGTCCAACAGCCAGATGCAAACCTGACGTACATGCTCAATTTCCAGCCCTTCTCCCACGACCCGTGGGAAAGCACACAGGCCTCCTTCTGCCGAGGCATATCTCCTAGCTTAACCCACGCCATTGCGGTTATCGAATCGGTCTTTGGAACGCCAATAAAAGCAACGTCATTGGGGGAGCGCACAGAACATGTTGATTGGTCCGTCAACGCCTCGGCGGTGGAGCGTTGTGCTGGGTGGGACGGCACCAAAAGGTTGTTCGGCGAAGCCAGTGAAAACACGATGCCCGCTGCTGTGCTGTTCCCAGCATGTACAGCCAGTGTCGCCACCTCCTCAGGCTCAGCGTAATGGTCCAAGATGCATGTGCCAGCCATCCAGCCTTGCGGTGGTGCGAGCGCTTCAGCACGGCTCCCACTGAACTGCTTGCAATCTGCAAACTGCAGCTTCGCATCGCCAGAAACATCCCGGGCTGTCCATTCCTACATCAGATGGCATGAAAAGTGCACAATGAGGCGGCTCGTGCGCCGTAGTCGGATCAGCGGGGCCATCACTCACCCTGCTCTTGCCCATGCTGAACAGGGCGCTCGTTCCATTCAAGTAGAATGAAATGTCGTTGAATGAGCGGCCCTTGGCTGCCACCGCGACATGCGTCCAGGCAGCCACAGGGGCCGGTAGCAGGGAGGTATGCTCCATCACGGTGTCTGGCGTCCAGCGCACCACCATGCTGAGTCCGCCGTTGGGCCTGAGCGTGAGGGCCCATGTCTGTCCCAGCGATACAAGGCAAGTGGTCCAGTTGCGCCGACCTGCCGGCTTCAGCCAAGTCGCCAGGGTGAAGCTGGCAGCGGGCAGGGTAACGGGCGGCAAAGTGGACAGGGTGTCTGGCAGCGCTGCGAGATCCACGCCTGGCAGCGGCTGGAGCAGCTCTCCTGCTCCTGCGCGGTGCGGCTTCCTGCTCCGCCCAAAAACGTTGCTCAGTGTGCCAGATCGGTCTGCTTGTTCAGCTGGGCTCTGCTGCACTCCCACGAGACCCTCTGTGGCGAGATGCAATTGCACAAATAGGACAGCTGAATAGAGGACAACAAAGGCAAGCAGAGGAGCGGCTGCAATTCGCACACTCTTGAACCCAAGGCGACGCATTCTCCCTCCGCGGGTTGTAAAGAGTGGCGAGTGTACGCCATCCACGATTCGATGAGCCAGCGGAAATTGAGTTGGAAAGGAAGGCAACACAGACATGGCCATGCATGGGGACGTGTCTGCGTCTGGTCCCGTCTGTCACGCGGTATTCTGCACACAGTATCGCAGAGGAGAGCATTTGCCAATGATTGACCAGCACCACCACGCCCCGAACGAGAGGATTGATGGCTTCTGAGCCTTTACAGGCTGTCCTCATTCAAAGATGGCCAAGAGGGACAGGCCTGCGAACCGCAGGCTCCACGTGCTTGTCAGCTTTGCGGCAGGCTTCCTGCTCGCAGCTCTGACTGTGCAAAGGAACTGCGGCTTGAATGCCGAAGAGCTTCAAACTTTGATGGCTTCTAATGCCTCATCAAGCGATTTTCTGGACGATAGGGAGCAGGTTACAGAGCAGGTGCGGGGGGCGGCGGTGCTGGCAGCGGCCGACACGGTGTCAACTACCGCCTCACAGCAACTGATGCAGGAGTTGAGCCAAGGCGCGCTGTTTACCATGTCCAAGACGGAGCAGCTCGAGCAGCTGAAGTTCTGCCAGGAGAACCAGCACTCGCCGAGCGACACGCAGCTGCAGGCGGCCGGCTTTGCATACGTACGCGCAGACGGCATCCAGCCGGGACTGGGGGCAGTGGCAGCACCAGGCCACAATGTTAGCATGTGGGTCTACCAAGGGACTAGCAAGCATCATGATATTGTCAGCAGCTCAATTGAGCAGGGCGGCGCCTGGGAGCCACACGAGACGCGCGAGGTAGTGACCAAACTGGAGCGATTCCAGCAGGTGACTTGCCACAGGCAGCCTGTGCATGGGTGCAATGTGGACATGGTGATGCCATGCGAGGAACGCTCTGCCAGTTCAAACTGCGTGCAACATGCGCAGGCCCGGGGATTGAGCAAGGAACAAGTCTACTTCATCGATATCGGAGGTGAGGCAGGCCCTACAGCCCACTTTGCTTGCTTTCACTCCCTGGGTGGCATTTGCTCCAAACAGTCTTCCATATGCCACCTCCAGCCAATGTCGGGTATTTCACGGTCAACGCCGCCGCGCTCGGCTACAGCGTCATTGCTTTCGAGGCCACAACACCCAATGCGTTTGCAATACGGCAGACGCTGTGCAGCAACCCCCAGCTCCAGAAGCGCGTTGCCCTGGTCAACAAGGTTCGTTGGCATACCAGCTCTATGCACCTCGTGCTTGCGCAGATGTTAGTTGCAAACTCCTCGCGATTGACCACTGCTTGTGATGTTGCAGGGCTTGAGTGACGCGATCGAGCGTTGCGCTGTTGTTGCCGCATCCGACAACGTGGGGGATGGTCACGTCGAGTGCAACAAAGATGCCGCTGACCTGGCTGCATCTGGGTGAGTTGTGGTGCGGGCAAGAGTATGTCCCTGGCCTGGATACCGTTACCGAATCGGCGCAACTTTCTTGTGGCTGCAGGTTGGTTGTGCACGGACAGTTTGATCTTATCACGCTGGACAGTTATGTTGAGGGCCACCTCGAGGCGCTGCGCCAGAAAGTTGGCGTCGTTAAGATTGATGTTGAGGGATTTGAAGACAAGGTAAGAGGTCGTTGTTCTTCAGGCCAACAAGCATAAGCAAGCGCACGTGACAAAAGCATCGCACTGTATTCAGATCTTCAAAGGAGCCGGCACGTTCATGGAGTCAATCCAGCCTGCCTACGTGGTTTGCGAGGTCAGATGGGATCTTTGTCGCCCATCGTGGCCACCTGCAAATGCCTATCTCGGTCTTGATCACCTCCCCCTTGGATTGCTTGCAGTTCCATGGAACGTTTTCGCAAGGCACAACGGCTGAGGAAATGCTGAACATGTTTGACCGATGGGGCTATACCGTGCACACTGAACACTTTGACGGCCCTGTCGAGCCCAAGGATGGTTTCAGCACACTTGCAGAAAGAACTGGAGCAGTTCAGGGGGCCATAAACTTGTACTTCACCCGTGCGTAGTCTTTGCAATCTATTTTTGTTCTGTTGCCCATCTGTGCCTACGATTTCTGACTGAGCAGGCATTGAAGTTGGCCGTGTTGAGCAACGTAGGTCACCTGCCCAGTTAATCGATTTACAAGATGGCAGATTTAGAGAGGGACATGGCAGGCTGCATCTCCCTGCCGTGCCAAATCATATGCGTCCTCGCTTGAAGCTGGCCTGGTGGTGCCAAGCCTTGTTATCTTCTGCCGGCCGCTTGCTATTGCTGCTGTTCCGTCCATGCTCGCTGCTGGGGACGGTGCTGTGTGCAAAGTTGCAGCGATCCCCCATGTAGCAGCCCTGCCATCGAGGAGAAGAGGCATTCCATCAGACTCACATAAACACAAAAAGTGATCACAACTCGCAATAACATGCACCAGATCCTACCTGCGGTGTGTTGAAGTAGCGGCAGGGTCTCTGGCTGTAGGGGTGTCGTGCCGGCGGCGGTTGTGAGGTCTGCTGCAGCCCGGTATCTGGCCTACCAGCGCCAGCATGCCAATTGTGACTGGGCGCTTGCAAGCCGGGATCTGGGGCGACGCCTTGCTGCTGTCCGGGTGGCCAGATGTGCAGGGGGCGAGGCATGGCCGATGGCTGCTGCTGCTGCGATGCGCTGCTCCCTGCTGCACTGCCTGCAACGGCACCCAAGATGCCACTGGCTGCCAGCTGGGCAAGAGCAGCACCGATATCGGGCAGAACAGCTGCAGTGTGCTCTTCGGATGCGCGCCGATGGCGTGCCTGCTGCTGCTGAACGTGGCCAGAACGCTGTGCCGTTGATGAAGCGCCCAGCAGAGGTGCCTGCTGCTGCTGCTGCTGCTGCTGCATGCCAGCTGCAGCCTCTAGTGACAGTGGAATGCGGGCAATGGTGACAAGATGCTGCACCTGGCCATGATCTGCAGTTACGCTGGGTTCCACTGGAGAGTCTGGAAGTGCTGATAGCTGTGCATATAACGCAGCCGGCACCTGCAACGCCAATCAGAATTAACTTTCTGAATTGCAGAGCTCTGATCAATTGAGTGGCTGTCTGAACGGTGCTGACGATGCTCACCTGTTGCCGCCTAGCTGCGGCCTCAGTCGCTTCTATGCTGTCCTCCCCTCGAGCAGGCGGGGCTGGCATGGATGCCAGTTCCGCTTCCGACATGGCATCATTCTCTGCTGGGTTCATCCACGCGATGGTGGGCAGCATCTGTGCCAGCCGCTGCTCTAGGGCAAGTCGCTCCTGGTCCTCCTGGAAGCAGCAGGGCGATTTGCAGGGTGATTGATTCAGGGTTACTAGCACCAAGGGCAGGCAGATGGACATTGAGGGCAGGAGCAACTGCAAAGCGGCACATTCCAAAAGCTGACCTCGGCGCGGTGCCGCCGCAGTGCTGCAGCTTCGGAGAGGTGCTCTTCCTTGGCTGCTGATTCAAACCCAGGAGGAGAAGCCTCATGTGCAGCGGCAGGGGTTGTGGCGGTACTCGGCAGTTGGGTAATATCAACGTCCTGATGTGCAGCAGCTGGAGGTTCGTCCTGCAGGCATGCAAAAGGCAAATCGAGTCGTGGCTGCGCCTCTTGATGGTGCTTCTATGCACAGATACGGCACCAACTGTAGTTAGCCGATGACTGCAGGATGCAGCTACACCCTGAGGAAGCAACTCCGTTGCAGTGCACTGCCAAAAGGCAAGCAAGCTTACCTTGCGAAACCAGCGAACCCCCACCATGGCCTCCTCATCCTGCCAAGTCACCTTCTTCTTCTTCTCCTTCCGAGGCTGTGGTTCCGGCGACGGCACACGCCGCGCTGCTGCCACCGCCCGTTCCTTGGCAGTACCAGAGCTGGCGCCCACGGTAGACAACATGCTCAACCCGCTGCTGAGGCTGCCTCCCAACATAGTGACACCGCTGCCAAGGCTGCCAAGCGACGCAAAGGGGCTGGCACTGACTTTGCCAACATCAGTCTGCCCAGTCAAACTGCCGCTGCTGCTAGGCTTCCCAGAGGCAGCGGGCTCCTGTTTGGCAGCACCTGGAGCACGCGGAGAGCAGCCTGGGACAATGCTGGATTCGGATGCCATGCTGCGGGTGGCTTCCACAGCATTGGCCTTGATGGTGGCAACCTGGCAGGATTTTAGACGGGCAGTGCAGGGTAAACGGTGAGGACAAATGGCTAGCACAGGGCTGCACAGTTTCTACCATAATGCGTTTATCTCCAACAATCTGAGGCATTGCCGTACCTTCTTCGATAAAGCAACACCATCCTTGACGCCTGTCCGCTGCTTGTCAGTGCCCTTGAACAGGTCACCATCCTCAGTGACGGACAAGCTGGCAGAGGGCTGTGTCTCCAGCGGCGGCGCCGCCACGCTTGCATTGGCAGCCGGTGGTGCAGGTGCCCCCATGCTGCAAACAAGTCCAGCGCAAAGTGTACTGAGTTGTTGCGTTAGAGGCACAGGCCCCAGCCCACCAGTGGGCAAGAGCATCACCCAAGCCTGCTGAACTTCTATCTCCTCACGCATCATTGCCACAATGTGTATGCAAGGACCGATTACAAAGCCGCTGTGTGTTATGCGAGAAAGCCTGGCCACGGACGGGCACAGAAAGCCTGCGGCAGCCATCTGCCAAGCGGACCTTGCAGTGGTACTGGCCGACTTGGCGCTCTGTTCCACCATGGCCTTCCAGCGCACGACCAGGCGCTTGGCTGGCTCAATCACGGGGCTGCCAAAGCTCTCGTGCTTGCGCAGGCGGCCAACAATCTTGCCCAGCTCGCATGGTGGCTGCAGCGCCGCCAGCGTGACAGGCAGCTTGTGCAGGCACGCCAGCGTCTTTTGCACCAGCGCCTGCCTACCCTCGGCAATGAACTCGCTCAGCCACAGCTGCAGCTCCAGCAGCAGCTTGGCAGCCACCGCCTGGCGGAGAATGTTGGGCGACGACAGCTGCAGCACCACCAGCAGCGCGGTGCGGTGGGGCTTGGTCTTGGCACGCTTAACCAGCTGCAGCAGCAGCGCCAGATGGTGGTCCTGCATCACGCCGCCACTGCTGGACAGGATGCCAGTGAGGCAACGCGTGAAGGGGTCCACGGTCGGCACCGGTCCTTTGGCAGGGATGGACATCGCTGACGCAGCTATAACGGTGGGCTTTTTGGTGGTCCCTGACCGTGCCAACGTGCCCTGCTGCGACTTCAGGCGGTGTTCCATGCGCTGCCGTGCCACAATGCATGCCTTCTTGCGCTGCGGGTTGAGGCAGTTTTCACAACTGCAAGACAAATGGGTCGAGGCCAGGAAGCAGGTTGAGGGCTGCGGCAGACATTTCCATTGCGAGTAGCGTGTACCGCGGCTGCAGCCTGGGCTGTACCTGCCACAGCGCTCGCTTCGTGGGATCTTGGGAAAGCGGTTGACTCGTGTCCTCGCCTCTGCCCGCGGTGCAGCAGGCTGTGGCAGGGCGTGCTGAGATGCCCACGAGGCCCGTTTGGCCAGGGGTTGCTTCTCATCGTCATCGCCGCTACTGCTGCTGGCCGTGGACCCTGCAGGATGAGCCCAGGCAGACAGGAATGCAATGAGCAACAGCACCATACTGAAGGTGACATTTGGGCGGTGGCGGCGGCGGCGGCGGTGAAAGTCAGCTGGAGTTCAGGCAGCGCCGGTGCTGCTGCTGCTGCTGCTGCTGCTGCTGCTGCTGCGCCAGCGGGGTCCCACTGTCCTCTGCTGCCTCTGCAGACGCCCTCACCCTCTTCTTCCTCTGACGCCGCTTCAGAGCCGGTTCCGGGCTCCTCTGGCCGCTCGGCCATGTCTCACGGTGCCAGGGCTTCCGCCGATCCGGCTAGCGAGCAGGCATCGGGGACGGGGTCGCTGGGTGGCAAGGGGACAGGGTCTCTGCACGGCAAACTGGGTTGGAGTCTTTTTTCTATTCAAACGACGGAAATTTAAAGGATCGCCAATAAAATCGCGGATAGCTGTGGAGGGCGACTATTTCGGCGGAGGGGGTGGAAAGCCTCGCGCAGGTGGGCCTGCTGCGGCCCCAGCGCACTGCAGAATGCCCTCCCTGGTCACAGGATCGCCCCTGCCTGCTTTAGCCCTGGTGCGGGCCTTTGCGCGGTGCCAGTCTTGCAGGCCCTTCTGGCGCTCTCCCTGCAACCAGCCTTTCCGCCAAGGGTGCCGCGGCAGGCCGGTGCTAGCGGCTCTGCTGCAGGTAAAAGTTGGGGGTGCTCCAAAAGCCAATGCTCTCTTCTTGCTTCCGGCCCTTGTTCCTCTTTATCAAATTTAAGGATGACACTTGCTGTCACAACATTTGCAAGCCCTGGCGCGCCCCTCACGACCGCCGCCGACGATGCCCACCCGCCGCCGGCCCGCAGCCGTATCCCCTGCACCCCTTCCACGCCGCCCCCTCATCATTGGCGGCGCCCAAGCCAATGGCAAGAGTCTATTCCAAAGCGTACAGAAGCGACGCCATGACCTCGCTCGCACGCGTATATGCCGGTGAGCAGCCGAATGGCCCGCCTCCGCCCGCCCGCCCCTTTCTCACGCTCCTCCCTGGCCCTGCACCCATGCAGACACCAACGTGAACAACCCAAAGGAGTACTGGGACTATGAAAACCTGGCGATCGACTGGGGGTGCGCATTGAGGCTGGAGACGTGGCCATCGCCTCTTTGCCCAACGCATGTGTGATTGTGGTCTCCGCTCGCGCTGTTCATTTAGACTGCATGATGCCCGCGCCGCTGCCCTAACAGGAGCCAGGACGACTATGAAGTGGTGCGCAAGGTGGGGCGGGGCAAGTACAGCGAGGTTTTCGAGGGGGTCAACACCAGAAACAACGAGAAATGTATCATCAAGATCCTTAAGCCGGTGAAGAAGAAAAAGGTGGGTTGGGTTGCGCATGGGACCCTTCCACCAGCACGCATGTTGAACAACTCTTTGCCTGCTCCTCCAGGCTCCTCTCCCAGCCCCACCAAACCTGCCTGCCACCCTTGCCAACCTGTAGATCAAGCGCGAGATCAAGATCCTGCAGAACCTGTTTGGGGGCCCCAACGTCATCCAGCTGCTGGATGTGGTGCGGGACCCGCAGTCCAAGACGCCATCGCTCATCTTCGAGTATGTCAACAACACCGATTTCAAGGTGGTGCGGGATGCCGATGCTGGCGAGTTGTGACGTACGTGCGGTTGCGCCTGCTGCTATGCGCTCATGCTGCTGGTGTTGTGCTGCGTCTGCGCTCAGGTGCTGTACCCCACCTTGTCCGATTACGACATTCGCTACTATGTCATGGAGATCCTGAAGGTGTGTGTGTGTGGGGGGGGGGGCCTGCGTGTGCCGGCAGCAGCCTCAAAGGCTGCAGCTGTGTCGCTGTTTTATCATTCGCGCCTGGTATAGCCCCCACCCATCGTGGCTCGCAACGCTGGTGGGTGTGCAGGCGCTGGACTTCTGCCACTCCAAGGGCATCATGCACCGCGATGTCAAGCCGCACAACATCATGATAGACCACTCGCAGAAGAAGCTGCGGTTGATAGACTGGGGGCTGGCAGAGGTGCGCCGATTCAAAGAATGGCAGTGCCAGCTCAGCATGGGTACTGCTGCCTTCACGCCTTTGGTTTTTATGTCTATCCTTTCTGTTCCATGTGCAGTTCTACCACCCTGGGCGCGAGTACAACGTGCGCGTGGCAAGCCGGTACTTTAAGGGGCCCGAGCTGCTGGTGGACCTGCAGGTGTGTTGGGGGGGCCCAAAGAGGCGCTTCTGGGCACTGCTGAGCTCGGCATTGTGCAGGCTGGGCTCACTCTTATACTTATGCTGGCCGGCGGGCGCGGCATGCATGCGCGCGGCGTGCTCAGGGAGCGCAGGCAGCACGCGGCCCACCGCCCTTGCCCTCAGTGGCCGCGGAGCGTGCCGCCACGCCCTCCTCTGCGGCCGGGCTGGAGCCCGGCGCGGCTGCACGCCATTCTCAACACGTTGCACCACATGCGGGCCCCAACACTGCCACGTGCTGCTGTCCAGGCTGCCGCAGTAACAGCAGTGCTTGGGCACCGCCTCCCGGGCCGCCGCCGCCATCAATGTGCTGCTAAAATGCCAAGTGCCTAATGCGTGCAGGACTACGACTACAGCCTGGACATGTGGAGCCTGGGGTGCATGCTGGCAGGCATGATTTTCCGCAAGGAGCCCTTCTTCTACGGCCACGACAACTACGACCAGCTTGTCAAGATCTGCAAGGTCAGGGCTGCTTGCTCTGGCTGCTGGCCGCTATTGTGGCGGCAACGAATTTCCCGGTGAGGTATGCGGTAATGGTTGTCAAACTCATTAATGCCGCACCTCGCAGGTGCTGGGCACCGACAGCTTCTACGCCTACCTCAACAAGTACGGGCTGGAGCTGGACCCGCAGCTAGAGGCGCTTGTGGGCAGGTGCGATGCCGGTGTGCGTGTATGCTTTTGCTGCCATGCTTTTGTTGCCCCAAGGGCATCTACGAAGTGGAAATTGGTGGAGCTGTTGCGTTCATGCCGGTGCTGTACAGGCATTCGCGAAAGCCATTTACCAAGTTTGTGAACAGCGACAACCAGCACCTGGTGAGCGCCGAGGCGATAGATTTCATTGACAAGCTGCTGCGCTACGACCACCAGGAGCGGTTGACAGCCAGGGAGGCGATGGCGCACCCATTCCTGGCGCCCGTGCGGGCAAAGGAGGGCGGCCAGTGAGCCGACAAATGTCGCCGCGCTGCTCCTATGTAATTCATGACAGAGCGCAGCCCAATTCTGGAGTGAAAAGTTGCGGTTGGGGCATGCGGTGATAAGGGTGCAGCAAAGTTTAGATGATTGCGATTCAACAACTACTCTAGTGTTGTCTTTGGGGCAGCCTGCATGATCGTTTAGCCCGGGCTATCAGAGTCCGATGCATGGGGGCGCCCTGCCGTGGGGCGCAGTACAGGTGGCTCGCCGCCGCCCGCCAACTCGTTATTAAATGTCGGAACTAGTATACAATTGGTTGTATCTCTGGCGTTCAGCACTCATCCCTGCGTGCAAGGGGCCTCCTTTACCACTGCCGGCGGCGCAGCGGCGACTTCTCACACTGGAGTAGCGCATGCTGTACAGGAGCATTAGTTGCACGGCATGGTTGGGCCTGGCTCGCAGCGCAACAAGGTGCACACATGCATGGCGGTGGCTAGGGGCGCAGGGGCTTGGCCAGGCCCGGCAGGTGACATGCACGCATTAATGGGGGCGAAGCATGTACAGGCCCACAGACGCGGCACGCCCACTCGCAGGCGCACAAGGCGGGCAGGCGGGCTGGGCTGAGCGCGCGAGAGAAGCACAGGAACAGCAAAGGTGCGCTGCTCACAGCATTGCGGGTGAGGTTTCCCCCAATGCATCTAAAAAACCTGCTGCCGGCCACCAGACACCAGCCTGGCATCCTCGCCTCCCCACGTCGGCTCTGTTGCAGATGCCAGCGTGCGGCACGGCATCAAGGCTGCCCGCAGCGGCCAGCAGTCCAAGGCGGAGCGGCTAAATGTAGCCAAGCAGCAGCGCGACCAGAAACGCGCGGCGGCGCTGGAGCAGCGGCGCGTCGCAGGGCCTCCGCGGGTGGTGGCGCTGCTGCCGCTGTCGGAGGGCGTGGATGTGGAGCGCCTGTGGAGCAGCCTGCTGGCATCGTGCAGTACCCACGGCGACGATGCCACTCTCAGACCAGGAGTGCCGGGCAGCGGCAGCAAGGCAGCGGCAGGAGGCATGGAGGTGGACCTGCTTAGCACCGGGCGCCCGCCACTGGTCATGACGACGCTGGCACCGGCCGACCGACGGCGCTTGCGCTTCACCTTCCTCCCGCCGCCAGCCGCCCGTGGCGACCCGCTGGCCATTGTGGAGCTGGGGCGTTCTGCAGAGTTCCTGCTGCTGGTGATGCCCGGAGACGTCAACACTGTGACGATTGACGACGCAGGCAGCATGGCCCTGACCGTGCTGCGCTCGCTCGGCCTGCCCAACGTGGTGCCCCTGGTGCAGTCACCTGCTGCAGCAGAGGGCAACAATGTGCTCAAGGAGCGGGCTGCGGCAAAGAAACATGCAGCAAACGCCCTGAAGGAACAGGTGGGCCGCTGGGCAGCCACTAGCGTTAGGCTGCCGCAGACAGAGGGTTGTGCCTTGCGGCAAGGACACTTTCCTATGTTGTCAAGCTATCAATCACTGCAGTGCATGTTTTACTCTGGCTAAGCCTCCTCCTCCTCATTCTCCCCTACTGCAGCTGCCGGGAGACCACAAGTTGCTGGCGGTGGACACCGCCTTGGACTTCAGGCAGCTTTTGCGCCACCTCACTGACAGCGCACCCCGTGCACCGCAATGGCGCCAGCACCGCCCTGCCATGCTCGTGCAGGCAGCTGAGTTCCATCAGCAGCATCCAGCAAGAGCTGTCGGTGACGCTGCTGCAGTCGGCACCCTGCTGCTGCGTGGCTATGTGCGGGGCCTGGGCCTGTCTGCCAACCAGGCAGTACACATTGCTGGGGCTGGGGACTTCCAGCTGGCACAAATAGACGGCGTGCCCGAGTCGCAGGAGGCACACGAGCCACCGTCAGTTATTGGCCAGCAACAGGCGGGGGCAGTGGCGATGGACCAATCGGATGGGGAGGGGCCGGTGCCAGTTCTTGCGGTACCAGACCCAGAGCAGCAGGAGTCTCTTGTTCGCGAGAACGTGCCGGATCCACTGGCGGGCGAGCAAACTTGGCCTACAGAAGAGGTGCGGATTTCTTACAGCTGGAATTGGCAAACCATGGTTTATATGCTTGAGCCATGGATGTTCAAACACGGTTTGTTTGTCCTTTGGTCACAGGAGCTGATGGAGGCCTCCGTGTCAAAGACGCGCAAGCGGCGCCTGCCTAGGGGCACCTCAGACTACCAGGCTGCATGGATTCTGGACGACAGGTTGGTGCAAGCACCTGCAAGTCCAACTTCTGCAGCAGGAGTAGTGCCTCCTACGCAACAGCTAAGCACCTATGGTGTCCTTTTGCTCAACCTTGTAGCGATTTGGATGATACGGATCTGGAGAGTGAGAGGGAGGAGGAACAGCAGCTTGGCGGCAGTGGCAGTGATGACGAGTTGCTGCCTGATTTAGAGCCCAACGGAGCCGCTGTTGACATTTCCAGGGAGATGGACACCGGCACCGAGTTTGGCATGGATGATGCAAGTGGCTGGGTTGCGATAGATTTGTTGCAATGCATGGTAGAGTGGTGCTGAGCAGGGTGCGCAGCAAATCACATAGTCATGCTCACCTCGGTTGAATGCTTTGTCCTGCAGTACGACGATGATGAGGACTGCAAGCTTGCTGGGCTGCATGTTGATTTGAAGGAGCGGCATCGACAGGAGCAGGATGACCAGATGTTCCCAGATGAGGTGCGGGCAGCCTCTGTTGTTGCATCTGCGAGATGTCTGTCAGCAGTTCCTTAATTGTTTGTTGGCTTCATTCTGCTTGGTTTCATTCTGCTCTCACTTTCACTCCTTGGCACTGTGCCCGAAATCAGGTGGACACACCGGAGGGTATACCTGCTCGCCAGAGGTTCGACAAGTACCGCGGCCTGAAGAGCTTCCGCACATCACCCTGGGACCCCCGGGAGAGCCTGCCTCAGGACTACGCACACGTGTTTGCTTTTGAGAACTTTAGGCGGTGAGGAACGGTCCAGCTTATGTTTGGGTTTGAGCAGTGTATTTGCACTCTGCTGACCTCCATATGTACTGCCCACTCCACTCCCGCTGCTATGATACAGAGCACACAAGCGGGCAACGGAGGCATCCCTCAAGGCAGGTGCTGCAGGAGATGCACACGGAGTGCCAGTTGGCTCGTACGTGCAGCTGCGAGTGGCCGCAGTTCCTGCAGATGCGGCAGCCCGGGTGCTGCAGCGGGTGACAGCATCCCGGCAGCAGGCCGTGGCGCCGTTGGTGGTGTTTGGCCTGCTCCACCACGAGTGCAAGCTCTCTGTCCAGGTGCGCTCCAGGTTGCTGCGTGTCCTCCTTGCCCTTGCACTGTAGCTGGCTACCCCAGGCTTCCTTCACTTCTGTTTGATTAACACCGTGCCCGAAGAACACACCTTCTGCTGCTGCCGCTACCCCTGCAGCACTATGGCGTGCGGAAGGCTGCTGGTTATGAGGACCCGCTGCCAAGCAAGGAGCAGCTGCTGCTGGTCAATGGGCTGCGCAGCTTCTTTGCGCGCCCCGTCTTTAGCACAGACGAGCACGGCGCCGACAAGCACAAGATGGAACGCTTCCTGCACGAGGGCAGGTGCGGGCTTACCGAATACACAGCACAGCAGAGCTACAAGCTAGTCCGGTCTGATACCTCAGTTTGGCTGCTGTTGCCACCCATGCTACAGGCCCAGTGTGGCAACGGTGTATGCCCCAATAGCCTACACACCCCTGCCACTGCTGGCCTTCAAGGTTGCAAATGATGGTGCTGCGCAGCTTGTGGCTACTGGTAGCCTGCGCAGCTGCGACCCAGACAGAATCGTGCTCAAGAAGATTGTCCTCAGCGGGTATCCAGTGAAGGCAAGCGGCCACTGCTGGCTGGCGTAAGCTGCGGTGGCAGTAGGGGCACTTGGTGATTTTGTGTCTGCACTACGGCGCTGCTCTCCATCCAATTCCTGTTGCAAGTGTCTTGCTTTGCAGGTCCACAAGACCAAGGCGGTGGTGCGCTTCATGTTCCACAATCCAGACGATGTGCGCTGGTTTCGTCCGGTGGAGCTGTGGACAAAGGCAGGGCGGCGGGGCCGCATACGGGAACCGGTCAGTATCCTGCTTCTATGCTGCCTGAAAGCAAGGGCGAACCCTGTGCTAGCGTATCAGGCTGAGTCGCTTTCTTCCCATGAAAGTTTCAACGAGCACGGCAGCTGTTTGCTGCAGGTGGGCACGCACGGAGCCATGAAGTGCATATTTGATGGACCGCTGCGACAGCAAGATGCGGTTCTGATGAGCCTGTACAAGCGAGTATATCCGAAATGGCCGGAGAACCTCGACTTTGCTGCATGATTGCACAGTTTGGTTGCGACGGATTGTTTAGAACAAAGAGTCGGGCTGAAAGGGGCCAGCAGAAATGCCTGTCATGTCAATGACTGCGATCAAAAGATGAACGCCAGCGCCCAACAACAGGAAACTAGTAGCTACTGTACGCCACGGTGCTGCTGCGCGATTTCCACCCTATCCCGCCGCCGCCGCTTGCGGTTCTCTAGGCTCTGCAGGCTGTACTGCCGCTTCTTCAACAGCTGGCTGGCCAGGCGGCGCCGCTGTGCAGCTTCTGCCAGAAGCGTTGTCTCGTTGCCAGTCTTGGCCTCCAGTTCTTGGGCAGCTTGGGCTGGCAACCAGTCGGGCAGCGCCGCATCAACCAAGTACGCATGCTGTTGCTGCGCATTTGCTGCCTGGGAAGCCGCAACATGGACGATGCTGCCGCACGCCAGGAAGGCTGCATAAGAGTCGTCTGCCACCGGCCCCCCTGCTGCCCACAGCCGCCCGCTGCCGTCAAATGCCAGGCAGGCAGGCAGGTGCAGATCTGTGAGCGCCGCCCAGCTGCACTCCTGTAGCTGCCTTCTGTCCCAATCGAGGCAGAACAAGCCAAGCTCGTCCCGCCCATCAACTGCCACCACAAGCCAGCTGCCATCAGGGGATGCCACCAGGGCCAACGGCACGGGGTTGCTGGGTGGGCTGTTGTTGCTGGAGCCATAGGCAGACCTAGCCTCCACATCTCCCTCTGCATCTGCATCTGCACCATTTGCGCTGCAGTATAGTACCGCTGCCTCTTCCTCTACCCCGTTGTCCTCGTCACTGCTGCTGCCCTCGTCCAGAACGTGCCCCTGCTCAGCTCCACTGTCTGGACCGCCACCCAGCTGCAAGGGCGGTAGCTGCAACGTGTGGAGCAGGCTGCCATTCAGGGGGTCCCACAGCCGCAGGGTGCCATCGCCCCCGCCAGTGACCAGCAGTTCCTGCATGACAGGCAAGCAGGCAGGAAAACACGTTTGTGGAATGCTCACTCCATCTGCCCGCACAACACAGTTTCTGAGAAGCAGCTGTCAGAGGCATATTGACAACAGGTACATAGCCAAAAGGGGCTTTTATCCTGCTTGCTGCCTGCAGACTCGCCTTCCCGCCCTGCTTGACAAAGGTGGAGCAGGTGACAAAAGCGGTGTGGCCCAGGCAGAAGCTCTGAATCTCGTGAGCGCCTGCCATGGGGTCTGCTGGCATAGCGCTCACACGCACTCGCTGGTCCCTGCAGCACGAGGATGCTTCGCATCAGCGCCAGCAAGGCTGGTCAAGATGGGTGCTTGATAAGGTGTATGCCAGGTGCGAGGGCATCGGCAGAGTGTGGCATCTGGCAGCACCACCACAGAGCAAGGGGTACCTGTCTGTGGTGGCAAGGAAGCTGCCATCGCTGGAGATCGCCAGGGAGGTCAGAATTGCACAGTAGTGGCCCAGCAGGACCTCAGGCTCCTGCTGCTGCTCTTCAGGCTGGCCTGCATGACGGCGTAAGGGCGCCTCACCATGTTAAGCAGGGGTGACGAGAAACGGGCACCGGTCCCTGTCGATGACCAACGGCAACACGCACCAGCGAGGCGCTCCGTGGTCGCCGCCAGCACATCCCCAAACTTGTCGGCCGCCAGGACATGCTTGCTGTCGGGGGTGAAGGCGGTGTTGGTCACCTTCTTGGGCACCTTGCTGCATGTTGTCGCAGGCGGCATGCCCCAACACACAGCGCATGGGGCAGTTACCGACCGCATTGCTCCAGCGACTAGTGCTGCTGATTCATACACGCACAAAGACGCAGCACAGCCAGCAAGAAAATGTTGCCCTCACATGGTCTGGATCAGCTCCCAGCTGCTGCAGTCCCAGACACGCAGCCCTGCCGCCTTGTCCTCACTGCCTGCCAGCAGGTAGCGGCCCGCAGCATCAAATGCCACGCCCCGCACGTAGGGCATGGTTGCCTTATCCTGATGTTGTGCGCCCGGTAGCCCCTGGGCCTCATCCTCCTGGGGCTTGCTGATCAGCACCCAATGCTGCTGGCTCCTGCGGCAAAGCGGGTCGGGGCAAGTCGGGTGGCGGCGCTGGCAGGCATGCGGACGCAGCGCTGCTGCATTGCTGGGTCCTCCCATCACGCGGACCTGGCATCAAACACGCGCAGCTCAGCGCCGACGGCCAGCGCGACGGCTGCCCCCGCTGGATGGACGGCCAGCGCCGCTCTGGGGGGATCCACCGGCTGCACGTAATCCGGCACCGATTGATGCGTTTTCTTGGCCGCTCGGCCATGCTTGCGGCCCATGGCTGCAGCAAAAGCTGGCCTCCTCCGAACTTTGCGGTGCTCAGCCTAAAGCCTCAGAGGAAATGTGCGGAGGAGCCTACAGGCGCGCCCTGAAATGAAACAACCCTCTGCCACTGCATGTGTTGCACATGCATGCCAGCTTTCCAAGCCTCGTTCCTGCTTTCCAAAGCCTTTACAGTGATTAACCGCTCTGTCGCAGAGTCACAAACGAAATATATTCAGATCCGCTGCCGGCGCCCTGGCAGCGGAGCCTCGTCTCTAATCGAATCGGTTTAAGCGAGCGCCACCCCCCTGCGCATGTTTTATGGGCTGAGAAACCTGGCGGAGGCGCTTCAGGGAGGTCCAGAGGAGGAGGAGGTGAGAACTCGAAGCAACCCTCCGACACCGAACTGCACCCTCACACCCGGCCTGGGCTGTGCCTTCCCGCGCTGCAGGATGATAAGGAAGTGCAAGAGCCGCAGGAGGAGGGCGTCAGGAGGGAGGGGCCTGAAGGGTGCGCCACTTGCACAGCCGCCCCGTCGCCGCAGGTTCTGCGATTCCCCCCGCTCCTCCTCTATTAGAGTGCATTTGCGTCTCTCTCCCTGGACCGAAGCAAGTAGCATGTTGTGTTTCTTGCAGGCAAGGTACAAAGGACGACAGCGCCGACGGAGATGGCAGCCAGGCCAGCGAGGACGACGACGGCACGCAGCTCAGCTTCTGGGGCGTCGCATCAGTGCTGACTGCCACGGTCAAAGCCAAGACCACACAGGTGCTGACGGCGGTGCAGGAAACCGACTGGCGGGCGGAGCTGGAGGCGTTCCAGCAGGCAAGCACACAAGATGCAGTCTCTGCTGTGTCCCTTCTAGCGATGCATGCTCTTCTATGGTCGTCTTGCCCTTGACCTCGTATCAGCGTGGCCGCTGGCATGCCTGCACAGCATGCGCCCCTTGGCGAAGATCCGCGCCACTGCTTGGCCGCCCATGCTGCAGGGTGCCAAGGAGGATGCTGAGGCTGTGGGCAAGGGCGCCGACATTGTGATGCACAAGGCCAAGGAGGCCGCCGAGCAGCTGCCCACCGCGCTTGAGCACTTGCCGGGCAGCGCTGCAACTCTGCAGGCACGGGCGGAGGCGGCAGGGACAGTGGCACGGGTGCAAGCGGGGCGCAGCTTGGCGGGGCTAGCGGGGCTGGGCAGCAAGCTGGTGCTGGGCACGCATGACCTGCTGGAGCAGATCAGGTGGGTGCCACATGTGGCTGCTCTTGCTGTGCATTGGTGCTCAATGCTGTAGAACTGGACGTTGTTGTTACTGTGGCCCTCCTCTGTCCATGGCAGCACTGGTGTGTACGCCTAGTGTCGTCACTGCATGTCGCATTGGTGGTGCAGCCACGCCGTCCAGAACGAGATGGCTTTGATTGATGACAGCGGCAGTGCTGCACGCCTTCCTTCATCTTCCAAGGCGCTGACGGGGCAGGCGAAGTACAGCAGGTGGGCTTCGCTGCGGCATTCATCCTCAGGGTGAGGAGGTGGGAGCGTGTGGCAACTACACTACTTTTGCCGTGCCCGCGACCATGACCTGCGCACCCTGTGCTGAGCGCCCATTAGCTGCTTGACTCCTGACTGGCATGTTTCCCGCTCAGGTTTGAGGCTGATGTGGCGGCTATGCAGCGCGACAGCACCACCTACTGCGATGAGCCAGAGGATGTGGAGGATTTTGAGGCCTGGCTAGCCGGCTTCGACCTGGTGGCTCGCAAGCCAGATGTTGACAGCCTGATTGCGGAGAACACGTTCATGTCAGAGCTGCAGGTGCAGTGCGGGTTGCTTGGTGTGCGATAGTGTATGCATCGCTCAACAGCAGCCACTGCAGTCTGCGCTGGCCCGCCAGGACGGCTTGCCACCTGGGGCCTGCAGGCGCGCATCGTGCCACTGATTGTCGAGTATGATGCGTTTTGGACGCGCTACTTCTACCGCCTGCACAAGCTGGAGCAGAAACACCAGCAGTTCCTGCAGCTAGCGCAGCGTGCTCAGCAGCCTGAGGAGGAGGTGAGGCATGCAAAAGGCAAGGGGCCACAGAAAAGATTTGTTTGTTTTTGGCTCTTGTTAAGAATCCCCATTCCTGGACGCCTAACTGCTCTTCCTGCCTGCAGGTTGGATGGAGCTCTGAGGAGGAGGCAGAGCCGCGCCAGCCTGCACGTACTTCTGCTGTTGGCGGAGGTGGGCTGGCAGGAGCACCTTCTGCCACACAGTCTGCACCATTGCAAGACGAAGCGGAAAAGGAGGACGAAGTGGAGGAACAGGCGGCTGCAGAGGCCGCGCCCACCGCTTCAGTAGCGCCTGTGCATATTGTTGGTGCGGATGGTGACGTGGAGCAGCATGAAGGTGGGGTGGGCTGCAAGTTGGGGTGGCATCCCCAACAGCTCTACACAGTGCAGTTCTACATAAATTCGTTCAAGTCAGATGTCTCACCTGTGTCTGTCCTGTTTGAGTGCAGAGCTGATTGACAGTGCCGGATCGTTTGGGAGCAAGGGCCAGGACCAGCAGGGCGCAGCCCACTGGCGCGCAGCGTCCGGCTCTGATGACAGCGCAGCTGCCACCCTCAGCTCGGACAGTGATCACTGGCAAGTGGTGAGCCCTCGGCAGCGCTCGAGTGCAGTCGCAGCTGCAACAGGCAGCGGGCAGCCGGAAGCATCATCTGGCGCTGCGCCTGCTGGTGGCCCAAACGCTGCCGCGGCAGCAGCTGCCATGGCATCACAGGCAGTCTCCAAGCCCGGCGGCGCTGCCGATGTTGCCAAGCCAGCAGCTGGTCAGGCAGGTGGGACTGCTTCTCCGGCGTCGGCAGCTGCTGCACAGCAGGCAGCCTTAAAGGCAGCGGAAAACGATGATGAGCTGTCCGATTGGGGAGATGATGATGAGGCTGTCCTGGCTACTGCAGCGGCCGAAAACGATGGTGAAGAAGAGTGGGGCAGTCCCGACTGGGAATGACCGCTGCTGGCCATTTGATTGCAATTGCCTTTTGTAGTCTGCTCTCTATCTCTGGCTGTGTATGTAGCTGTGAACAATTTGTATACACCTCGAAGGTGAAAGTGGACAACCGTCGCCGCCTGGCGAGTTCGGCTTTGAGGAAGGGGACAGACTGCCGCCGCCATGACGCGCCCTGCTGGCGCGGCCGCTTCACACCCGCGTCGCAAGAAAGAGCTTTCTTCTGTTTACTCTTCTGCATCATTGTTCAGCCATCTGAACGCCAGCCATGGCACACACACTGAACAGGAGAATGCGCCCTTGGGTGTCTTGCGCCTTCAGGGCGCGGCGGGCAGGCTCGTAGCTCTAGATATCGTGAGGAGGACCTGGAACGGAGTGCTGCTTCGCCACCGACAGCGAGGCTACAGGGTGCTGGACGCGCAGGAGGGCCTTTGGCGCGTGCAGCAACTCAAACAGCGAGCGGAGGGAGCAGTTTGGGTCGCAGACAAAGAGAGGCTTGGCGCCGGGGCCGCCGCCGCTCGACCGCGCACTGCGCTCGTTCTGACTCTACTCCTCGCTTACCCTAGATGTTGAGGCGCGGCGGTGCCCTGCGGTCCCCCTCGCTGCTGGCCTTGTCGGAGTGGCAGGAAAAAGAGGTGGGCCCGAGCGTGATTCACGACATTCCACCAGCGCACTGCCGCCCCGCGCGCTTTGGCATGCATGCACCGGTCGCCCCCACCCCACCACCCAACACCGCTCGCAGGCCAGGAACCAGCTGCAATCGGCGGTGGACGAGGATGGCTCGCTCCTGGACAACCTCACACTAGAGCTGCGGGTTCACCCCCCCACCATTGATATTGACAACAAGGCGCATGACAAGTGGACCACCGTCACCATTGACAGCGCCAACCGGCCCGGCAGCCTGATATATGTGCGCCATGCCAGGGACCAGCCGGGACAATTGCAGCTGCGTCGCCACGCATAGCCTCCCTATCCCTCGAGCCTCCCTCTGCTGCCTAATCATTTCCCTGCCCTGCGTGATGCGCAGATTGTGCAACACTTCACTGAGCTGGACTTGCGCATCACGAGTGCCCGCATATCCAGCGATGGCGGCTGGTTTGTGGATGGTGCGCTCGCCTGCTGCTGCTGGATAAAGGGGGCTGGGAGGCTGCGGGCGGGCGATCGCAGTTGCTGAGCCTCACTCTGCTGCCCCCACCCTGCCGCCCGCAGTGTTCCATCTCTCGGAACCTAACGGCGAGAAAGTCCGCAATCCCAAAAAGCTGCAGAGCATCAAGCAGGTATGCTCCCAACTTGCAGATGGAACAAGGCAGCAGGGATCAAAGCAGGATTATGATTCTTGCACGATGCCAGCTTTTGATTCTTCACCATGAGTTCGTTTCGTATACTACATACTGGTCCGTACCCCTTTTGCCCTGCAGATGCTAAATGTATACATGCAGCAGGAGGAGGACCTGGTGCTTAATGGAGGTAAGATTTGACCAGTGCTCTGATCAGGCGTGATTTCCAGCAGCCTCTGGTTTAGTTGAAGCTGATGCTTGGGCAACTGTGTCAGCGAATACCCCAGATTTCGCCATTCTTGGTGTTGCTGTGCTTGCTGCAAAAACAAATGGTTGGGTGCTGTCGCCTGACATGCCTGCAGACGAGACGGACGACATGAACCGCATCGAGACCACTGTGTTTGAACTAGCTGGGCCGGACCGGCCCGGGCTGCTGGCAGAGGTTACCCACCTGCTGACCCACAACGGCTGCAACGTCCGCTCCGCGGCGGTGAGTGCAGACACCGCCCAATTTAAAACCAGCTGCATCATCCTTGCCCGTTCTTCCACGACCCACCCTCTACCTGCATCGCTTCCGGCAGGTGTGGACATACCGGGGGCGCGTCGCCTTTGTGCTGTCGATCACAGAGAAGGGGTTGCCCGTGGTGGACGGCATCAAGCTGCAGCGGCTGCGCCAGCTGGTGCTGGGCATCATGACGCGGCGCCCGGGTCCCAGCGACAGCAACGGCGCGCTGGCGGCCATGGGAGGCGGCGGATTGGGGCCAGGCTCTGCTGGCGTGATTGTAAACATCCGAAAAGTGCGAAGGCTGCCTGGTACATGCTAGGTGGTGGCAGTTTGCTGATTTTGCAGAGGCTGCTATGCTGCTCAGCCTGAGCACTTTCATCTGCGCATGTGCAGGTGCGAGGCGAGATCCACCACGACCGGCGGCTGCACCAGCTGATGCTGCAAGAGGAAATCAATCAGGCAAGCCACTGCTGTCCAGGCACCGTTGCCTGCTGTCGTTGTCGTTGCCACCGCCGCGGCTGCACCGCCGACCACAAATCTATATCTTTCTGGATGGAAGCTTCCAGCACATGGCACAGGGGAGTTGCTGAAGATATCACCATGCATGCATTTTTGTTTGTTTTTTCATGAAACGCCTCTGCTGGGTGCAGTGGTCGCAAGGCGTGCGGCTGCAATCTGTGGATGAAGATGAAACCAGCAGGCAGGGGCAGCAGGAGCAGCAGCTGGGGGTCCTGTCTGCAGCAGCAGCAGCAGTAGCAGCAGCGGGACAAGTGGAACGGCCGCTCAGCCGGCAATCCACGGGAAGTGATGTGAGCGGCCGGAGTGATGGCGTGCCCGGGGTGCAGGGGCTGGGCGAGGGCTGGATGGCAGCGGGTTCAGGCGTCAAGGTGTGCCCCTCATCCATGTATGTCGCTGGCTGGTGTTATGACTTGGACTTCCAAAGACACTAGCCCCATCTGCTCAGCCCTCTAGACACCTTGTGTCTCCTCCTGTCCGTTGGTGTCACTTGGTACCCCCCACCCTTTTGCCTGCCGCCTGCAGGCAGTGACCTCTGCTTACCGCTCCCCAAAGCACGACCGCCCACAGATTGACATTGACTACAGCTCCGACTGCAAGTACTGGATCATCAGCATCAAGTGCCGCGACCGAACCAAGCTGCTCTTCGACACGGGTGGGGGGCTTGGGGGACGACACTGCCGTTCCGGTTGGCTCTGTGTGTGTGTGTGTATGTGGGGTGGGGTGGGGTGCGCTGCGTGCTGGCCGTCTGGCGGAACT